GTATATTAAGCCACATTTTGTTTATCCATTCATCCATTAATAGACAATTGGGTTGCTTCTACCTTTTGGCTATTGTGAATAATGCTAGTATGAAGAATGCTGTGCAAATAATGTTCTGAGTTCCTTTCAATTCTTTTGAATATATATCCAGAAGTGGAACTGCTGGATCATATGGTAATTCTATTTTTTAACTTTTTTGAGGAAACACCATATATTTTCCATAGCGGCTGCACTATTTTACATTCCCACAACAATGCACAAGGGTTCCAATTTGTTCTCTACAACAGCCTATACAACACTTGCTATTTTCTGGGGGGGGGGGTTGTTTTTGTTTTTGTTTTTTTTTTTTTATAGTAGCCATCCTAATGTGTGTGAGCTGTCAATTGCTTTTAAAATCTTATCCTACTATATTTTTCTCCTTTAAAGTATTCATTAGTTGTGTGTTTATAAAATAAGTTTTCTGTTTTCAATTTTAAAAATCCTGGCCTCATTCTTTCCAGGTGATTCATTCATTCTCTCAACAAACAACTATTAGGTGCCTACTATGTGTTGTGCCACATGCTGTGGATACAAAGAACAGAGGTATGTTCCCTGCCCTTGAGAAGCTCATTAACAGTGGGACGGACAGACATGTCAGTAAATAAGAATACAGCAGCACTACATGTAGTATAAGAAAAGGATGTAGGCCAACAGTTACAAACCATAGGTCAGATATAACTCACGGAAGTGTTTGTTTGATTCAATAGTGTTTTTCAAAAATTTGAATTGGTTTTCAGAAATTAATCTTCATTTCTGACTTCTCTTAAAAGAAAAATCAAAAGATCTGGAAACTCTGAGCCAAAGATCCAGAATGGCAAAAGTAGGCCAGAGCTGAGTCAGAATTGGCCTTTTTAGAAGGATGGAGGAAGCCAGAGGCCCCCTGAGAATATGGGTGGGCTGGGAGTGGGGAAAGAAGTATGGATTCTAAGCAGAGGGAATATTTGGATGGTGGTCCACACTTTAACGAGCCAACCACACACAAACCCATGTAAACTCCAACCCTCCCATCCCTCTGTTTTGCCTATAACAATGTTCGATAAATGTAAGATAAATAAGAACCTGATCAAAGAACTTAACCCCTGGAAGAGATTATTTCATAGGTCATTTAACCATTGTGAGTCTAAAGAGGTTGAGCAATTTGCCCAACGTGACACTAACATGAGTCTGTGGTGGGTAACACATTGTATGAGAGACTTGGGGAATGGAGGGGACTTCCAGCACGGAATACTACAGTGGGCATCTGTTGTTTTGCCTCCCCAGGATCTTTTCTCCCCTCTCCCAAAATAGTACCTTTATTTTGCTTAGGGAGCTACAAGTCCTTATTCCATGTGGTCCTGATATGCTAAGTCTTCCTGGCATCAGGGATGGCATGTGACCCAGGCCTGATCAACCACACCCATCCACCTGGAGCTATTGAAAAAGGTATAATCCTTCCACTGGGGGTTGCTGAGAAGGAATGATGTAAGTCTGAATGATGCTGTTGGTACCCAACCTAAGACAGCATGACGTAAATGAAAAGATGACAAGTTACATTTCCTTGGGTAAATTGCTTAACTATTCTGAGCCTCGGTTACCACATCTGTAAATGGAAATAACAATTCCTACTTCAAAGCACTGCTGTCTGGCTATAAAGAAATAATGTATGTAAAATGCCTGGCACACAGTAGGAGCTCATTAATGCTGGCATCCTTTCTTTCCCTTCTGAATAATGTCAGATGGATGTAGCATTACTGTAATTAAAATGTAAGAAGTGCATTGGCAGACTTTCCCTACAACATATTGAGAACAGCTTTTTCAGTAGCTACCTTATGTGATTTCAGGGAATTGGGGAGGGAAAATAAAATAAAATGCAGCTTGCTTTCCTGGAACAATTCAAGCCATATCCAATACCTGCCAAGTGTAGCCCATAAGGCTATGTCTGCATTCATCTATTATCTCACCTCTATGTAGATAAAGTGGTTTTCCTTCCTGCCCACTGGCTATTGTATTTGTAAAATGGGAACTCTTTTGAATCTCTGGCAATCATTAAGCTGACAGTTTGGATCATAACATAATAATAACATTAGGAGCAGTTGTATGACACTTCCTGCTTTTAAAGCATGTTGCAAATCTGAGCTAATTAGCATGAATGCTAGCATGCCAGCTTTTTATGGCTTAATATTGCAATTATACTTTGCTTTTTCAATAAAAATGTGGTGATCTTTTTTCATTAGAAATAGAGGAAAACAAGAAATGAATAAACTGCTTCCCCTCTATGGATTCAGATACAATGTAGTTGAAATACAAGACAGACTGCATGTTCCTCTAACAAGTTTCATGAGGATTTTCAGGTATGACACCTTCTGCTAATTTTGTTTTAGGACCAACAAAGGAAATAAAATATATTGATGGGGGCAGAAAAGGAATTTGTAAACCCAAGACAAAGTTCTAACCTTCAAAATACACTTTCTGTTTATTTCTAGACTTAAGCACCTTTATGAAATCAGAAAATTGCCTACTTGTTATTTATTCTTAAACCAAATGAGAAAATACCAGCTCACATAGTATTGCAAAATACCCTATTCTTTCCATTGTAATATGAAAATATAATAGAGTAAGTATAGGGTCAGAAAGACTTGGGTTAGAATCCCAGCTCATTAGCTATGTAATGAGATATTACTCATAGCTATGTAATAAAAACTCTCTGAATTTTTATTTCCTTGCCTCTAAAATGGAGGTGATAATGCTTACTTGGCAGGATTCTTGAGAGGTCCAAAGGAGATTCTTCCTTACACAGTGTCTGGGGTATGACAGGTGGTCATATTAGCCTTGACCCACCCTTTCTGTCTATAACTCATCCTCTTCTCCTTCCAGTTTAAAATTATTTTGACATTAATTCAGTTTACAGGAAAGTGGAGTACCATAATGAATAAAAATATTCTTTCCTATATAAGTGGTATGTATTTTTAAATATATAATTCCATTTTTAAGGGACTAGGAATAAAAAAGTACATTTTGATGAGAAAAATATAAATGTATGATCATCTAAAAACTTTCCTTTTAACATAATATGAAATTATAAAGATACCTCACTTGGGTTTGATCATTTGGCCCTTAGTTCATTGTACAAAATAAATAAAAAATAATGTGATGAGGTATGACAGCAGGAAGGCTGTCTGCAGCACATTTAAAAAGCCTACAGATGGGAGGAGCAGGGGATGACAAGAGATGGGGAGTGGGTACAAACATACAGTTAGATATAAGGCATAAGTTATAATGTTCAATAGCACAGTAGGGTGATTACAGTTAACAATAATGTATCATATATTTCAAAACAGATGGAAGAAGAGAAGACTTGCAATGTTCTCAGCATACAGAAATGATAAATACATGGGTGATGGATACTCTAGGACATCATATGTATCCCACAAACGTGTACAAATATTATGTATCAATAATAATTTTTTTATTTTTTTAACATTTTTTCCATATTTTATTTCTTTCTCTATCTTTGTGTGTATACATGCACACACATTTGCTGAACAATTTGGAAGTATGTTACAGGCATCATGACACCTTCAACCCTAACTAAATAGCCTGGCATGCATTTCATAAGGAGATTCTCCATTCTCCTAGCTAACCATAACACCGTTATACCTATGAAAACTAAGATGAATTCCCTATAGCATCTAATATCCAGATCATAAATAATTTTTTTAAACATAATAAAGCCTGCAGACTGGCTTGTCCCAACAGAGCCCAGGAGGTTGACTCACACTACCCAAAAGGCTGTCAAGATTGATGTGGTCACTAGATTGTCAAATCGTTCCTTGCATTTAGAATTGTTAACTGCCACGTCTACAAAACTCACATCAGTGTGAACTGCCCATTCTCTTGTTTTGTGGGGGGGAAAAAAATCACAAAATCGGAAGAAGGTTGCTTTCTGAGTGTGGAGTCAGAACAAGCAGAGTTAGGCTTGTTTCCATTATAATGGCTTCATGCCCATTAGTCATGGCCTTTTGGGACCATTTATCCAAAAAATATTTATTGAGTGCCTGCTATTTCAGCTAGCACTGCTATTGGCAACAGGAATAAAGTAACATACAAACAATACACATCCTGTCCTTTCATGGAGCTTATCTTGTTGTAGTATAGGTGATCTAGCTAATGGGATGGAAAATATTAGAATCTTCCTTCAAACCAGAACCAGGAACCTGCAACACTCCAGCTTTGCTCTCCTTGGACATTGCTTGGAAAGGCAATGACAGCATTTACCATCGTGAACTTAGATGTGTGAATTCCTTTGGGCCTGAATGTCCTTCCATTTACTTAAGTTTACTTAGATATCTCTGCTCTGATTAGGAGATTTCACCATTTAATGCTGAAGACAATCTGATATTCTCTATTCACAAGTCCTTGAGGGTCAACTCTCTATAGCCCCAAGAACTGAAAACATCTGTATGTGTGTGTGGGTCCACACATCAGAAAGACAGTTTGGTATGAGAAAAATAACATTAGCTTTGAAGTTGGCTTTGGTTTAAATTCCTGCTCCAATAATTTCTAGTTCTGTGTTCTTTAACAAGTTAGTAATCCCTCCCCCATTTTATTTCTTTTTTAAAAAAGCATCACAAGTAATATATTAACACATTTTTATTGTTAAAATTCAAACTTTGTTTTTTTATTTTAGTGATTGTGTTAGGGTTCATACTATAGATTTTTAACATACCACGGTAACAGCATATTCGAGTGATATTATACCACTTATAGTATAGTATACAAACTTTACAATATTGTACTGGCATTTCTTCCTTCCTGGACTTTACATTATTGTTGTCATATATTTTTTATCTATATCTATATACATATATAGATATATATGTCATAAATATCACACTACATTGTTATGATTTTTGTTTAAACAGTATTCTCTTTTAAAGAGATTTAAATAGAAAAAAATCTCATATATGAACCCATATAGTTACCATTCCCTGTTCTCTTCATTCTTTTATGTAGATCGAGATTTCCATCTTATATCATTTCCTTCTGCCTGAAAGATATCCTTTAACGTTTCTTGTAGTATAGGTAGGTTGATAATGAATTCTTTCTGACTTTGCACATCTTTAAAAAGTCTTTATTCTGCCTCTACTTCTGAAAGACAATTTCAAAGATACAGAATTATAAATGGATTGATTTTTTTCCTTTTGGTACTTTAAGATTTTGCTTTGCTCTCTTTTTCCTTTCATTGTTCTCAAAAAGAAATTTGCTGTCATTCTTATCTTTTTCCCTCTGTAGGTAACATGCATTTTTTTCTCTGGTAAAATTTCCTCTTTATCACTGGTTTTGAGTAAATTGATTATAATGAGCTTTAGTATAGTTTTCTCTATGTTTCTCTATGTTTCTTCTGCTTGGAGTTCCTCAAGGTTCTTGGATCTGTGAGTTCATAGCTTTCCTCAAATTTGGGAAGTTTTTCAGTCATTATTTCTTTGAATATTTTTCCTGACTCCCACCCCATCCCCTGCTTTTCAGATACTGCAATTTCACATACACTAGGAAGCTTGAAGTTGCCCTACGGCTCTGTGTCTTTGTTTATTTTTAAAATTTTTTACTTTTCCGTATGTTTCATTTTGGATGGTTTCTTTTGTTATGTGTTGAAGTTAACTAACCCTTTCTTCCACAATATCTAATATGCCACTAATCCCATTCAGTGTATTTTTCATCTCGGGCATTGTAGTTTTCATCTCTAGAAGTTCAATTTTATTCTTTTTATATTTTCCATATCTCTAACTTTTTGAACATATAGAATACAGTTAAAATAACTGTTTTAACATCCTAGTGTGGCAATTCTAACATCTATGTCAGTATTAGGTGGGTTTCAATGGATTTATTTTTCCTTATTATGGGTATTTTCCCACTTCTTTGCAAACTTGGTAATTGGATGCCTTTGATGCTGGATATTTTTGTATTTCTGTAAATATTCTTGAGCCTTTTTTTGTGGTTGGGTGGATGCAGTTAATTTGCCTGGGAACATTTTGATCTTCTCAGGTCTTTTCTTTAAGTTTTGTTAGGCAGTACCAGAGTGGTGTTCTACCCAGAGCTAATCATTCTCCACTACTTTGGCAATACCCTTCAGATTATCTACCCTATCATTTCTGGCCTTTTGGCTAATCTAAGGTGTAGACCGTCTACCTGATGCTTCATGAATAATGAGGTTTTTCAGTCTGGCCAGTGGGAACAGACGCTCACTATTCCTGGCTCTACGTGAGTACTGGCATTGCACTATTCCCTCTAATCTTTTTCCATTGGTTCTTTCTTTAAGTTAGAGGGACGGTTTTCTGTTTTGTATTGCCCAGGGTCTAGAGCATTGCTTTCAAATTTTGACTGACCAATATCATCCTCAGAAGTACAGTACAAGAGAGGGTTCATTCTGGGTTAAGTGCCCCTCCTCTGTGATCCTACAACAACCTGTAATCTTCCATCATGGAGCTTATTACATGTTCCTGAAATTGCATGTTTGGTGGACTTTATGAAGGTAGAGATTGAATCAATTTTATTCAGTGCCATTTCCTTAGTACCAAGCATAGTAGGAGCACAACAAGTACTTGTGAAACATTAATCCTAAATTCTGAATTGTCCTTTCAAATTACTTTGTGAGAATATGGGTCTTCCAACAAGTTCCAGAATTGCAGGCCTCTAGAATAGGGAATTTTAATTGCAGAGCAGGCCTCTGGAGTTCACCTGCATTGGAAGTTATAGCACCATTCCCATGGGTGAGGTTAGACATAGATCCTTATGGAGCTAGTTTCACATAAAGTCAACTAGCCCAGAGCGTGTTTAGAGAGGCTTTAAACTAGTGTCTCTGTTGAGGGAGGCCTTGAGATGGCTTGGGCACATTAGAATTCTGTGCAGACCTTTTTACTTCCACATGTATTTTAATGCCTACTGATATCTGGCACTGGACCAGAAAAGCCTTTGGTTCAGTGTTGCCAGAGATCGTGTTCACATGGGACTCTGCATTATGCTCTAGGAGGCACCATTCTCATTTGGTGTAATGTATATCCAGACGGTCCAGCCAGGGTCCCTATCCCTGCCTGCTAGGTAAGGATCAGTGAAAGGCATATGCATTCTACATTTCTTTTGACTACCTAGTCCATGGATATGTTTTTAAGAAAACCCAAACCTTGCTCTAAATTCATTCAGTTCAACAGACATCTTCAAATGCCTACTCTGTGCCAGGTATGGTGTTACCATTGGGTTGAGTCATTAGATAAGCCCTTTGACAACAGAAGCAGTACCCCCAGGGTGGCCTGAGAATGGGCCCCTCACAGTGTTCAGTTTCTGAGCGTTGGGCTCCTCCTCTTAACAAATCTTTCTCTCCATCTTCTACTGTCACATTCATAGTGCAATTCATCTTATGACCTGAGAACAGGCATAAGTAAGTCAGGACAAATTGAGAATAGTGAGGGCAGTGAGCTATTTTATTAATTGATGGATTCATTCATCTGTTCAGTATTTACTGAGCACCAACTATGTGTTAGACACCATACTGAATGTTTTTGTGGTGTAAGGACTAGCAGACAAAGTCTTTGTCCTTAAGGAATTCACTGTTCAGTGGGGGAGGTAGACAAGTGAACAAATAATTACAATGATGTGAGTGATAGATGCTAAGGTAGAGGAATGTATAAGAGCAATACCTGCTTTCCTAAGAAGCCATAAATTCATTGACAGAAATGGTGTTTATCCTCTGCATTTCCTAATGATGTGATTTGTGCATGGCGATCACTCAGTAAAGAGTCAACAAGGCCTGCCTTCTGTTCCTAGCTCTGTCTTTGAAGCCCAAGGTCTCGGACAAGAGATCCTGGCCTAGAGGACAGACTTCTGTCTCTTGTCCCTTGCCGGACCTATGGCCTTTCCAGGGCCCTCTCCTTGCATCTGGGCCCCTTCCGGCCCCTGGGAGACCGGGTCTCTACACCTCACCCTAGCCTGCCTTGCCTTGGGCAGTCTGTCCTTGAGCCGTCATTTCAGCTTTCTAAGCCTCAGTTTCCTCATCTGTAAAATATAATTAATGATACCAGCCCTGCCTATCCCACAGGGTGATTGTAAGGATTAATGGTCATGAGAGTGACCTTTAAATTATAAAGATCTCTACAAAATAAATTACACAGTCATTAAGTTATATTCTTAAATATTTGTTGAAATTGTTTTTTTAAAAGTCGTTTAGCACTTAAGTAAAATGCTGAACGACACCCTTTTCTTTAAAAAAAACAAGAGAGGAAGAGAGAGACAGAAGGAGCCACAGGGAGAGAGACTATTAAATAAAGAGCGGCAGGTAAGGAGCCCACTTGGTTGCCACCTTCACAGTTCACAAAGCAGTTCTGGCTGACTTTTTCATCAGTCCAGAAAGATTTATTCTGCTCTCCCCATTTTACAAATGATATCGGCGAGGTGCCAAAGAATTTGTCCAAGACCATAAGCTCTCAAAACCTCAGTCCCAGGCTACTTTCCAGGGTCCGTACCTGCCAACAAATGCGAACGGACCAAGCCCCAGGGCGCTGGGGTCGCCTTTCCTCTGGAAGCTCCGCCTCCCGGCACGGGAGGGGCTGGACAAGGCTGCAACCCCGCCCCATGACGTATTGGCACCGCCCCGGGTCTGCCACCTCTCGCGTGATCTCTCGAGAAGACTGACAGGGTCAGGTCCCATCATGGCGGCTGAAGAGGCGGATGTGGATATCGAAGGGGACGTGGTGGCCGCGGCGGCACAGCTAGGGTGAGGCTTAAAGACTGGGTCTTGCCGGGGCGGGAGGGGCCGCAGATCGAAGAGAGGGCTTTGGAAAGGCCTCAGGTCCGGCTGAGAACAGGGAGCAGAAGTCTATCTGCTGGGCCAGTCTCTTGTTGGCCTGGGAGGCGCCGCGCCGCCGCCGGCCGGCTTGTCCTGAGCCCAGCGGGCGGGTACTAGGAGCTCAGGTACTGAAGATTCGTTTTCACCTTTTACCCGGATGCTGTGAAGGCGCTAATTTCGCCTAGCACATTGCACTTGCTCCAGCAATTAGATTCCAACTTCCATTCCCTCCACCTCAGAATCTCCCCGACCATAACCAGAACACGGGCAACTACGGACAAGACCTGAGCTCAGGGATCCTTGTTCCATCTCCTGTAAGCTGCGTGACCTTGGGCAAGTCGTTTCATCCCTTCTTTTACACAGGGGTAGTTGTGAAAAACTTTCTGAGTGGCAGCTTGACTTAAAGGAAAAGTGCCAGATTTTAGAGTTGGGCAGTTCTGGTTTTCCTTCTGCGTTTGTTGTTCCTAGCAGTTACTAGCAGTGTGACCTTGGACAAGACACTTAACTAGTCTGAGCTTCAGACTGCTCACGTGTAAACTGAGAATCATAAGTTTGTGAGCATCAAGTGAAATAATTATGGGATGTGCTTTAGCATATGGTGGATGCCCTGTAAATGTCGTGTTCTTTACTATCCCGTTACCTTGAGGGATGGTACTGTGAGGATCCAGTGACGGATCACAATTTATCGATTCCTGCAGAACAGGTTTGAAAGAGAACCCTTTGACTCCTTGCTTTCTGAGAGAGAAACAAGTCTCCTAGTCATGGAAAAGGCTGAGAGTGTCCATGAATCAGACAGCCTGGGTTCTAAATGCAGCCAACAATGTTGTTTTAACTGTGAACACCTTCTTTAGAACTCTGTTAGGTTGAACCATATGAAATTGCCAATATTAGACCATTTTTGATCTATGAAGTGGTGATTTCATGTAGTTCAACATAATAGTTGGGCCTCTGTGAACCGGGGAGAAGATTACCAATCCTGCCCACGAAACGCTAAAATAGTGTTTAAAAGTTTCTAGTGAACATTAAGCACCATAAAAATGTGAGAGGTAATTAAACTCATGTACTCATTCTTCCTCAAATCTTTAGACAAAACAGTCCAAAGCTATGCAGATGAATAGGGAGCCTTTAATAACAATCGTTCACATTCATGTAGTGTTTAAAATCTTGACCAAGTGCTTTTGCATGTTTGATTTAATTTAATTTTCATGATATGTGGGCAGGGAGACTTACCTGCAGTCCAGAAAGAAATGAGTTGGCCTTGGAAATACTAAATAAAGATCATCTGAGGACATTGGCTGTATGCCTCTTCCATAGGTTTATCTTAATTTTTCTGATTGTGTTTAATTTTTCCTCCCTTTCTCTTTTTCTTTCTTTCCTCTTTCTTCCTGTTTTGCTTGAACTTTAGGTCTACTGGTGGCACTTGTGCTTACTCTCATACAAATAGGATTACAAAGGTTATTGGTTCTTGGTGGTCAGAGCCATTGTCTTATATTACTCCAAGGAGCATCATTAACATTACATTCTGGTGCATGGTACCCCCTGGTGTTGGTCTCCATTCATATGGAATAGCTCCTGAAGTATGTAGTTATACCTGATGATAGCATCTGTTGAACCCTTGTGGATTAATTTAAAACACTTTTTGAATTTGCTAAGTGCTACATGCCAAAGTTAGAAGGTGGCTTTGAAACTTTTTGGTTTCCCTCTACTACCATTCCTTCTCATCCTCCTTTTCTTCTGCTTGTTCTTAGTCATTGTGTTGCAAGGGGTTTTATTATGGGACTTATAATCACTGACTACACAGTCCTTGGTAATACCATTTTCTATCCGTTAGGTTGAACTATGTGAAATTTTGCCACTATTTGACAATTTTTGACCTGCCCAGGAAATGGCAGTTTCTTAAATTTAACCAAATACCTGCTGATGTTGCCTAAATCTGTCACCAACTCAAATCTCTCTTCTGAGCATCAGATTCTTTTATCCCATTCTTTGACTCTATCTGCACTTGGATGCCTCCTAAGCACCTTAATATCAGCTTATAAACTTTCCCCACTTGCCTTTCCAGTGTCCCCTAATTCAATAAATGGCACTGGCATCCTTCCAGTCACCCAAAACACAGACCTAAACTTCATGCCTTTTCCTTTGCTCCCTCCTTCCATTTCCCCATCCTATCAGTTATTACAGGCCTTTTGATTGTGTCTATATGTCTTCTTAAATGTATTCACTTCTACCTGTTCACACAGCTTGTTCCCCGGATATAAATTACTGTCACCTTTCTCTGGTTTTTTTGTGTTTTTTTTTTGAGACAGAGTCTCGCTTTGTTGCCAAGGCTGGAGTGAGTGCCGTGGCATACGCTTAGCTCACAGCAACCTCAAACTCCTGGGCTCAAGCAATCCTTCTGCCTCAGCCTCCCGAGTAGCTGGGACTACAGGCATGCCCCACCATGCCCGGCTAATTTTTTATATATATATTAGTTGGCCAATTAATTTCTTTCTATTTATAGTAGAGACGGGGTCTCACTCTTGCTCAGGCTGGTTTCAAACTCCTGACCTTGTATTTTTATAATTGCTCCCTCTTAACTGCTCCTTGCTTCCTTGACCCCCCCTTCTATTTTCTTAAGTTAGAATAGTCTTTCCAAATCTGATCATGTTATTCCCTTCACTCCTCAATTGGTTTTATGATAAAATCCTCATTCCTTAACTACTAGAGACCTGTGTAATCCATGGCTTATCTCCCTTGTTCATTCAACAAATACTGTGTACCTGCTACATGCCAAACCCTGAGTATATAGCAGTTATCAAAATGAAGTTCCTGCTCTCTAGGGCTTTCTTGTTGCTTGAGACAGACAGTAAACTTTTATATGTCAGATGGAGGTAAATGGAGAAAGAAAAAGGATGGAAGGTGAATGGCTTGTCAGCTTTATCTCTTTTACTTATAACAGGAAAATTATAAGGTCTGAAACTACAGGACCTCAGTGGTGGTATGGGTATTGTGGAAGGACTGGATTTGAAGAAAGGAGAAACAACAGAATTGGCAATAGATTGAATGTGTGTTGTGGGGAAAAAAAAGGGCAGGCTCAGATTTGCTGATCCTTATTAAGGAATACTATGTGAAAAGATTTCTGCAATGAACTTGAAGTGATAGTAGTCCCATTTCCTCAAGTTTTGGTAGAGCTAGTTATTTGAGTAAAGGTTTCCTTTTACTGATACAAGCCTCAGAATCCTTTATTTATTCCTCCTGGTAACCTCTTCCAGATCAGAGTTGATATTTGAGTTTAAGCCTATTTGCCATCAACAATTGAGAGAAATCATTGCTTTTAGTTTATTGTAGAGAATTGCTCATTAGCTCCACAATTTATTATAACCATTGTACAACTAATAAAAGATTCAAATGTGTTGATAGATTTTTGTGGTCTTAGAGGAACAAAATTCTTACCATTAGACTAGGTCTGGAAAAAGTTAATAACTTAACTAGGAAGCCATAACTTCAAGACATACAAAAAGCAAAATATTAAATTTAATACTGTTGTAGATTGGGCCCCCCCAAAACTTAATTCCTCAGCCTTTTCAAATATGAGGTGAACAATGTAACTTTAAAGAGTTCTTAGTAGTTCAATGAAAAGAGTGGGAGAATGAACAAAGTTTGATTCCCTCATGGATATAAAAAAGCCCCCAAATAAAGGAGGCTTTATTTTTAATTTTTTTAATTATATGAGTTGTTATTAAAACATCACTTTTTTTCTTGTCTTTTCACTGTACTTTCCTTCTTTGAATATTTTTTGGTTTTTTTGTTCTTCCATCTAGTTTTATTTTTTTCATTTTGGGGAGGGCGCTACTGTTTATGGTGGTTTTTATGATTTATACATAGCTTAAAGATTTCATTGTGAAGTTCAATTTCTGTGTACATGTGCTGGTACTTGTCAGCAGAAACTAAAGTGCTGGTTCATGGTCATAGAGCATGTTGTGGTTGCTGCTTTAGGGTATGTTTTTCCTCAAGAAATTGTTTATTCTTTAGAAACAAAAGTGAATAGTCAGACTTGATGTTTAGCAGTGGGGCTAGGGTAGCTTAAAGCCACTATGTATTTCACAGGCTAAAAAGGCATGGTTAAATACAATGTTAAATTTAAATCTGTTAAGGGGTGAAGGGAACTAAATATTTGCTTAACACCTATGACCTGCCAGTCTCCACTGGGTTATGTGAGTTTACATCCATTAACTGGTATGATATCACTTATATACTCATTTTCTTAATTATTTCAGAAGTGATGAAAATATAGCATCAGTTTTACAACAAGATCACTACCTTGATTCATCGTGGAGAACTGAAAATGACCTTATTGTAAGTATTTTATGAAAATATCAGGTGTATTAAGCTGTTACTTACTGCCCAGAGTGCCTTTTTTTAAAAAACTTAATGCCAGTTCTCAAAAATGACAAATATCATAAGTTGAAATATCTTTCTTACCTTAAAAATAGAAACCTCTTTCTTCTTTTCACTTTGAAAAATGGGAAACAACTATGTAGAACTTTCGAGCCAGCTAGATTTAGGTACAAATCCGTACTCTACCACCTCTCAAATTTGCAAGCCTCAGTTTCTTCATCTAAAAAAAAAATGGGGATTATAACAGGGTTCATTTCTTCATTAATCGGCTATTTATTGAGTACTTATTGTATGCCAGTCTCTAGGTAAGATTTGGAGGATATAACTATATATGATGAAGATAGACATGGTCCTGCTCTTAAGGACCTTATATTCTAAAGAGGAGTCCGGTGATAAGAAGACAAAATAATTACAGATTATGAAGGAAATAAGCAAGATGCTGACTGAGGGTGGCAGGGAGCCTACTTTAGATAAAGTTGTCAGGGAAACTCTGAGGAGGTGAGATTTACATTGAAAAGTAATGGAAAGAAAAGGTACATACCTGAAGAGTTGAGAAAATAAATTCTAAGCAGAAGGAACTACACATGTAAAAGCTTCAACACTGGTTGAAGGCCAGTGTCTAGAATGTGGTGGGGAAGGAAGGAGTGACAACATGTGACAAGGTTGGAGAGGCAAGCTGGAGCTCTGTCATACAGGGCTTGAGGGTCAGATTATGCTAAAGGATTTAAATTTTATAATATAAGCAAACGGGGACATCACTGAAACGTTTTATACAGATTAGTAAATTCATTTTTATAAAATTCATTTTGAGTGCTGTGGTGAAGATTAGATTGTGGGGAAGCAAGAGTAGAATCAAAGGACCCAGTTTGGAAACATTTGCAGTAATTGAAGCAAGATTTGTTGATGAGGTCTTGACCTGAGGTGGTAGCAGAAGAGAGAGTGGACAGGTTTAAATTATATTTTGGAGGTAGAACTGGTTGATATATTGGATATGAGGATTGAGGGAAAAGTGAAGAATCCACAATAGTTTTTGGATTTCTACATGGAACAATTTAGTGACTACTAGTGCCTTTTTTTTTTTTTTTTTGAGACAGAGTCTCGCTTTGTTGTCCAGGCTAGAGTGAGTGCCGTGGCGTCAGCCTAGCTCACAGCAACCTCAAACTCCTGGGCTCAAGTGATCCTTCTGCCTCAGCCTCCCGGGTAGCTGGGACTACAGGCATGCGCCACCATGCCCGGCTAATTTTTTTATATATATATATATCAGTTGGCCAATTAATTTCTTTCTATTTATAGTAGAGACGGGGTCTCGCTCTTGCTCAGGCTGGTTTTGAACTCCTGACCTTGAGCAATCCGCCCGCCTCGGCCTCCCAAGAGCTAGGATTACAGGCGTGAGCCACAGCGCCCGGCCTACTAGTGCCTTTTTATAAAGTTGGAAAGATGGGAAGAAGCAGGTGGACATATGTGATGATGAGTTCTATTTTGAATATGTTAAGTTTGAGAAGCCAATTAAATATCCATGTAGAAATCTTGAGTGGGCAGTTGGATATAATGGTCTAGAGCTTGGAGAAGAGATATGAGCTGAACATTTTTAAGTTTGAGAGTTGAAAATGTGTATGATCATTCATGGAGATTGTGACTGAGGGGGAAAAAGTCAGTTTTAGAAATAGGTAGAGTGTCTAGCAAAATGTCGCATGCCTAATAAATAGTTCCGTGTACATGATGGCCATTACTACCTCATCATGGGTAAGAGCATGAGCCTTGGAATCCAACAGACTTGAGTGTAAGGTCTCTGCTCTTCCACTTACAATGCTAGCAGTGTTGCTGATACATCTGTGAAGTATTACTGCCTATCTCAGTGTTATCGTGAGAATCAAAGATATGTCTATGTGCTTAGTAAATGATAGCTTTTATTATTTGTGGTCATATTTCTGTTTATTTTTATTTAATGAAACTTAGAAGCTAATTTCAAAAAGCAGTAAGTAAAAAGAAAAATACATTCTCTTTTTTAATAGCCTTGGACTCTGGATAGCACCATCAGTGAAGAAAACAGAGCTGTCATCGAGAAAATGTTGTTGGAAGAAGAGTATCCTTTAATGATTATTAGGAAAGTAAAGGTTTCAGGGATAAAAATCTATAAATGCAAAAGTTACAAAAGGCCACTGTTTACTAGATTGGTTTTATTTGGCCCCAGACTGCTATTATATAATATCATGTTATCTATATGTGCAAAAAGCAGCATTTTATTCCTCATGTTCTGTTTTACTATTAAGTCTGAGGTCTGATTCAGTATTTTTGAGTATGTGTTGTCAGCCAACTCTAGGATATCTGAATATTGAGTATAAATGATAGAATACTTAAGTCATTTAGAACCTTAACTCCAAGCTTCCATTTTCACAGTTATGTAAGCTGAAATCCAGAGATGTTAATTTGTCCAGGGACACAGGATTAGAACATGTAAAAGTTCTTCTCACTTTATAATTTACAGGTTAAGTTATGTGGGAGGAATCTAAGTAAAAAGCACAAACAAATACTTTAGAATGAAGATTTTTTTTCTTCAAAAGATGTGGATCCTTATCTATGGCTCAGTTTTCTTGTACATAAGTGAGAGGCTTTAACTTCTGATTTTATTATTTATAAAGGTTATTAATAATGGTCTAATAAGTAGTGGTTTATTTTTAACTCTTTCATCTGCATTTCATGGATTTGTTATGTTTCTATACCTTTAATTATCATAGGTTAATCCCATTTTCTTATTTGCTCACTCTCCCCAAACATTGCAATTGTAGCCTAGATTATTGCTTTTCAATCAGAGTCACATATAATTTGAAATTTTCTAGTAGCCTCATTTAAAACCAAAGATGAAATTAATTTTAGTATATATTATTTTTTTAACCCAATATATTTTAAATATCATTTTAATATTTAATTGATATAAAACATTAATATTTTATATACTGTGTTTTGTACTAAGTCTTTGAATCCAGTGTGTTTTATATTTATAGTACATTTCAGTTCATAAAACCATGTTTCAAGAGTCATTAGTGGTTAGTGGCCACTGTGCAGTTCTAGATGAATGAACACTTAAGTAGTCACTGGTTTGCTTCTAAATATGGAAACAAATAATGAGAGTAAAAGTTATATGTAAGCATTTAGAGGATAGGAATAATATTTTCTTATATCTTTGTCCTCAGCACCTAGTACCTACTATAGTACTTGACATACAATATACAGTCAATACGTATTTGTTAAATGAAGAATATTTCAGACTAATCTAACAGTATTTCATTAAGCTAGTTTTAAGATCTTTTGAAAGGGAGGCTCCCTGGTCAATTCGATCTTTTTGCCATTTTTATTAGGATATAGAAGATCTCTGAACTCTTCTCTATTACCTTAGAAATAAGGAAACAAATACTCTCAAATTGCCTTGGATTACCAATCAGATTCATCTATTACATTCTTCATATGTGAGGCTAGATCTTCTGTTAGCCACTTTTAACAGGGAAGGTAAGGGGAAACTAGCATTTATGTAGCACACATTTTGTACAAGTACTGTGTTATTTGATTTCACATGTAATTAATCCACATAACAACCCTGTGAGGTGTAAGCATGTTTAATGTAATTTTTGCAGACCTGGAAAGGGCTTTGAGAGGAGTTGGTTTAACTTGAATTCAAGTATGACTTTCATGAGTGCCTACTTTGTATAAGTTACATAAAAATTATATGACTTTAATATTGCTTAAAGTTTCCTTAATCATTACATAGGTATTATTTATCAAAAAAATCACTACCGGAAAAATTCTGGCTTGATCAAAAGGAAGATGATAAAAAATACATGAAGAGGTAACATCAATTTATAATACTTTGAAAAGTCTAGACTGTATTTTTAGAAACTTCATATGCTTCCTTATTTTCTTTTTTCATGTGGTGCAGTCTGCAGAAAACAGCAAAAATCATGTATGTACTTATGTTTTATATTTTTAAAACCCTTATGATTAGTTAAAAATTATGAGAGAATTTTTTTAAAGTTGTAGTTGGCCTGTGGAAAATCCCTCTTGACCTTGGGTTATACAAAAACATAAAGTAAATATTAAAAAAAGGTTTTTGGTATGAATGTTGGAATGCTTATAATATGATGATATTTACTTGCCACAATTCCTTTTATGGCCCTACGTAAGCAATTCCATCAGATTATAGAAAAGATGGTTTCCTGGGGATTTATGGGGAAAATGTTAAGCTGCTATCTATTAGAAATTGACTTGATTTCTATTGCTCTGTCAGTTAATTTTGAGTTATTTTCAAAAAAAAATTTCCTTTGAGTTTGTGACTTTCAAAAATTATCTAGAGAAATTAACTATTTTAAAAAATATTCTTTTGCTATAATTGAAAAAACTTTGACTTTATTTAGCATCTATAAACGTGAAAGTTTATGATCCTTTAAAGGGTAGATTTACATATTTGCAATTGCTTGAGAGCTTAAGCACTGAGTAGCCTTTGTTTTTGTATTTTGCTGAATAAACAAGAAAATGAAATTAATGGAAGAATTAATGGCTTGCTTAAATTAGTGAGCTTCATCACTGTTTTTAATTTCTTGACATAATGAATTTTAAAAGCAATAAATATAATGCTTTAGTTTCTTGAGTTCTTTTCTGGCTAAGTATTTACATAGATTTGCATGAAAGAACCAAAGAGATAATAATTCTGGAACCAACTGAAACTCTTACATGCCTTTTAGGATTTGGGAATGTATTAATGCCTGCTGCTTTGTATCCAGTCTAAGGGAGCCTATTTATTTATTATCACATTGACTTCCTTTGATGTCTTTTAGTGTTACCCTCACTCAGACCCAAGGATTATGTCTTTTGGGGCTCCTATCATCCTGAGCTAGAGAGACGTGACAGGGTAAATCTCTCCCCCAGGTAGAGGCTGCAGCCTTCTTCTTTTTTTCTTCTTTGTTTTTTTAATTCTTAGACTCAAAGTATTGCATTTGGCCCATGGCTATCTATATAACCTTTAGTCATATAAATATGGAATGTTCCATTTTAGAAATTTTTTTGCAATTCCTTTTTTTCCTTCAGGGTACACTCTCCTACAAAACCAGCCAGTTACTCAGTAAAGTGGACGATAGAAGAAAAAGAGCTGTTTGAACAAGGGCTGGTAAATAGAGCAATTTTTAATTTATAGTAAAATGATTCTAGAAGCAAATATTGATAGAGTTATAAGGTTAAATTAACTTATAGAGACCAGAATTTTCTTTTTAATTACAATTATAACACCTTTAGTTTTTCTATAATGATATTTGTAGTGTAGTACAAGAAAATTCCTTTTTCTTGTACTACTTATATTTAAGGTACTAAAATACTAAAATAGATTTGAGTCTATAATTTTCACACTTGTTATTAATAAAGTCCAAGAAATTGAGCTGTATCTGTACACATGACACTAACTACCTATATTAAGAGGCAAACTTATTTAGTAGTCTGTTTTTCTCAAAATGAAACAAAAACTGTATATTTGAAACTGTCTTGGTGATCAGCTGAGTTTTTATTCAGATTTTGGCATTATGTACACAGTCTAAATATTTCAGATGATATAAATGAAGACCAGAAACATTTCTTTTGTGTGAATATCTGTTATACTGAGATCTGTTTAAATGTCCATAAGTTATGTAATGGAAAACAATATATGAGCCAATTCCTAATTCTGAAAATACTCTTTAATATGAAGAAACTTTTAATAAAATATTCAGAATTTTTTTTTACTGTCAAGATTAGGTTATATCTTTTCCTTTAAGGTACATATTACCCAGTATTCAAATTAATTTTGAAATTATGGATATTTATACATTATACATATAGAATATTTGTATTTATGTAAGATTCATGGATGCTAATTGAAATATCATTGTTAACATTTCTACAGATGATAAATGAAATGTTTTTGTATTTTTCTAGTTAGTCAAGACTATGACATTTGTATACTCTATGATGTTCTTACCTATATATATAAACTCATGAGGTTTTATCTCTTCGAGGTTTTTTCCTATACTGATGATGTTTTGTATATTGGTATTTCAGTCTGTTGCATGATTATCATTTATATAATCCAACTTTAAGTAGTCATTTACCAAAGATTGCTGACAACTTTGGTATTTTGCTTATCACAGAGCAGATATGCATATGAATACATATGTAAATGAGATATGGACTTAAGGTTCCTTTTTAGGTTGTTATTGTTGAAACTGGTGTTAGTTATTGAGATTACATTTGCTTGCTTCAAAAGGTTCCTAAAGTTATAGGGTGTTAAGCATTCTTCTCACTCTCTTCTCTGCCTTCGGTTCTCTTTGCCTTCGGTAACTAGTGTCATTGCTTCTTTGTGTTTCCAGAGATATTTTGTCCATATATAAGCAGATGTATATTTATTTATATAAAGCTATGTAGAAATCTATCTACAGTAAGAAAACCTTAAACTTTGAATGTTTTTCCATACAAAAAGCATGGAGTTATTGGTTGTATTCCCAGCCCTTTTAAACCATTGATACAATTTACATATAGACTGAATTCTCTCAGGCTTGAAGAGAATTGTGTGGTACTGAATGATGAAGGAAGATTTTTTTTCCTTTCCTTTCTTAAGCATACGACTGTCCTTTGCTCTATTTTGAAATTGGTGAAATGTTTTCTTTGCTCCTTGACTTATTTATTATTTTTTTAGAGATGGGTCTCACTATATTGCCCAGGCTGAATTTGAACTCCTGGGCTCAAGCAATCCTCCTCCCTCAGCCCCCTGAATAGTCGGGACTAGAGGCATGCACCACTGTGCCTACCTTCTTTGCTCCTCTTGTTAGTGTCCCCTCCTCAATTTTCTTAGTGCCCAAGCCCCTACTATCCGATTAATCACACTTTATCCAGATCTCTCCTGTCTCCAGAAGTGCTCCATACTACCAGTTACTTATTTGTCTTTATCCTGTTATTTGTCTTTATCCTGCAATAGAGATAACTAGTTCTTCTGTAAGTTGATCTCAAATAGGTGCTAAGAGCAATCGTAACACATTAACTGCCATGTAAATTGTATTTAACTCACTCTAGTTTTGAGCCTGGGGCCTCAGGAGGCATATGTAACTCACATGTCTCTTCACCTTGGGAGTGTGAGAGCTATTTTTCAAGTTGCATGTAATTCATGCACAGAAAATAATACAAAATAATAACACATTTTTTATTAAATTAGAAAGGATCATTTTGTTTTCCAAGTTTTTCATTCTATTTTCATAGGAAAACATCATGGTTCCAATGAAAAAAATTTTTTTCTAGCGTGGCAGTCAATATGTTAAATAATTTATATAATAATAATTTTCCTAGGAGTACTTTGAGTTTTAAGACATTGTCAATATATCATATTTTCTAATGAATATCAGAAATAAGTATATAAATTAAGGTTTATCATTTGAGTCAGATCTTTGAAAATGATTTGCTACCATAAGTCATGACTACCTGGCCTCTAAATCTGACCTTGGGATCAGCTTTCCTCAGTTGTGGCTAGTTTTTTGTTTTTCATAGTTTTAAGAATTCTAAAAAATTGGAATTGTTGAACTACCTTGGCAAATACAGAGTCTCTTGTGTTGGGGTTATTATAAAAAGGATTTATGTATTAAATGATATACTTGATACTTACAAATTCCTTTTAGCTTTCAAATTACGTGTGTTCCTTTCTATACTTTAGAACACACGGAAGTTCCCTGAAGTTCTCAGTTTTTTCCCTCCACAGCTTCAGTGTTAGGAGATACACTGCCTTTGATGCCAGAGAGGTGTCGGGAGGCATTAGTTGCAGGTCAGCCTTGTTTGTGATTCAATCTTTTAGGTCATTTCACTGTGACATCCCTATAGGGCAAAAGTCTCTGCTATGAGACACCTAATGAGTATTGCAAAATACGGAATCTTGGTAAAAACTATATATATTTTGAAATTAGTGTGGAACATGTTCAGTTGATCATAGAAATGGAAAATGTAACCTGCCTCCCTTTCTGACACTTATTTCTTTGAAAAAGTTATCGTAGATTTGGAACATCATAATGTGCAATATGAGTTCATGTAGTTAGGTAATAGAAGTAATCTTCATCTAGATGGCTATTTTTTTAAGTAATTTATAAAATCACTTCAATCAATTTTTGGTAGTCTGGGTTCTGAAAAAAGAATATGGGCTTTGATTTTAAGAGCAGTCTATATATAAGACTTCATTGTGTTCTTTAGACAATAAGTAAAGATGGAGGATTTTTGAGGGTTTTTTTTTTTTTTAATGTGGCACTTGCTTAGAATATTCATAAGTAAATTAATCAAAAGCATTTTTCCCCATTTTGATAACAGACTAAATTTGGTCGAAGGTGGACCAAAATTGCAAAGCTAATTGGAAGTCGCACTGTTTTACAAGTGAAGAGTTATGCCAGACAGTATTTTAAAAATAAGGTAAGCACAATATAAATATCATAGTTAATAATGCTAAAAAATTGTGAATAAACAAAATTTAGAGCAGAAATTTAGAATAAACAAAATTAGAGCAGAAATATTTCTTTAATTCTGGTATTAAAGTTTGTTAGTGAAAGTATCTTATACCTGAGTAGAACTATACAAATGGTTTATCTTTCAAAATATCAGAGCATTTGTTCAGTGTTGTGAGTGTTGCTATTAAATGGGTATCATGTTATTGTGCTTAATATCATAAAGTTAAATGGGACAAAATATTAATTACTCAAAAACATCCTATAAAAAACAAATTGTATTCCAAAGAGAAAATCTTAGAGGTCTCATTGTTTCCTCTGGAAAATATCTTTTCTTTTTAAAATATTTGCATGATAGAAACTTCTAAGAATTACTAGAGCTTAGGGGACATAAATACTATCATGTTTAAGAGCAATGAAATTTTTACAATTGTTATGAAGAATTGTCTGAAATTTTAGTAAGTTGCAATATTAAGAAAAGTGTAGTTATAGTCTAGTTTTTAATCTTTCAAGTAATTTGTACTGTAGTCAACCACCTAGTATTGATATTTAGAATTTTTGTATATATTCTGTTTAAGCTCTAGGAACATAACTATATAAAATTTGGAAGTATCTTAGATGAAATTTGGTGTTTTCTTTTAATATAATAATGGGCCCTACCCCATATACAAGATTTGTCTTAGTGTTAGCTGGCCATAGGTGATAACTAATGGAATGAACTCATCATACATCAATCATCATCTCTCTCTCTTAACCAGACAAAAGCATTTTCAAGGCAGCTCACCAAGGATGAGGTATTAAGGAACAGAATAAAGCTTAACTTGGTTATTCTTATTCTTGTGCTTATCAAGCTGGAACATGTGGTATATCCTGGAGTATACGTTTTACTCAAAGACCTGGGGTAGAAGGAATACATTTTAAGATAATAACAGACATTAGTGTATTATGAAATCTAATACAAAATTTCATCTGCATTTTTTAAGATTGAAAACAGGAGACTTCAAATAAATAGCAAGGTTGTTAAAGGCTATTTCAGGCTGTATTTATTTTTTTTTTTGAGACAGAGTCTCACTTCTGTTGCCCTGGCTGGAGTGCCATGGCATCAGCTCAGCTCACAGCAACCTCAAACTCCTGGGCTCAAGCGATCCTCCTGCCTCAGCCTCCCAAGTAGCTGGGACTACAAGCATGTGCCACCATGCCCAGCTAATTTTTATATATATATATTTTTTAGTTAGCCAATTAATTTCTTCCTATTTATAGTAGAGAGGGGGCCTTGCTCTTGGGCAGGCTGGTCTCGAAATCCTGACCTTGAGCAATCCACCCACCTCAGCCTCCTAGAGTGCTAGGATTACAGGCGAGAGCCAGGGCGCCTGGCCTTAGGCTGTATTTCTAAATCTCTCTTTTCCTTCTGCTACCCTTTCATTCTCTACATTGTAAGCCAGTTAACCTCAAATATATGGTCCTGGGATTCTATTGTGGCACAGGTTCTATAAATCTCTTTCCAAGAGCTGTCATATCCCTTTGATATGTCAGTTATTCATAGGACTTTTCAAAAACTTTGTATATAAAGATTTTATTTAAAGTTATATTTGGTCATTGACTTTGATTATCTTTTCCTTGTTACATTGCCAGATATCATGGCTTGAAATATAAGCTCTATAAAATTGGAACTGTATTAAATGAACCTGTGTAAAAACAATTTGTTTCTATTCTCCCTGTATTTAAATGAAAAATGGTTTTAGTTTACTGAGTAAAGTTATACTCAAGTTAAGACTTATTTTAGCATTATAGGAAATGATCAGCTGAGGTATCTGACATTCTGAGAAATAAGCCTTTATAAATATTTCAATATCTTACAGAATACCTTACTCTGATAGTTATTGGTTCATTCTCTATGGTTAATCTGAGCCAGATCCCTACTTTAACATTGAAAAATAAGTAGCAGTTATATATAGGTCATGCTTATTTATAGAAATTTAAAATGGTGATCCTTTACATTTAAAATGCAGTCGTAAACCCTTTTAAGAAAAACACATTGTAATATACTGTGTAATATACCATTAACATGTACTCAGTTTAATAACATTGTATTTATTTTATTTTTTGTACCAGTGATTAAATTTTAAAATGTTAATATTGGGGTTTTATTCTGATTTTTAATAAGGTAAAATGGGGTCCAGAGAAAGAAACACCAAATCAGAAGAACAGCAGTAATCCCCAGGTTAAAAATGAAAGTAAAGGGACAAAGGTGTGGACACCATTATGTTTAAGGGGACGTGCTGATCCCAACTTGAATGCTGTAAAAATTGAAAAGTTATCTGATGATGAGGAAGTAGACATAACAGATGAAGTGGATGAGTTGTCTTCTGAAACATCCCAAAAGAATTCTAGCAGTGATCTCTTATTAGACATTCCTAATAGTAAACTGCATGGAACCAATCAAGGAGAATTCGTTGCTTCTGACAGCCAGGAAGTTCCCTTTTCAAAATCTTCCAGGCACTTTCTTCAGAATGTAAAGCAAGATGAAATTGAAAAGCTTTCAAACTCAGAAATTACATTGTGGACTGAAAAACAGAACAACAGTGACAAAAAATCGGTTGAATTAAATGATCAGGAATATAATAAACTGATCAAAAACTGTAACAAGCATGATGAAAGTGGAATAATAGATGATGCCAGGCAATCGCCTTCTCCAGAGCCTTGTGAAATTCAGAAAGATTTGAGTGATAATGAAATGCTTTTTCATTCTTCTTGCCAATTGGTGGAGGAAAGCCATGAGGAAGAAGAGCTTAAGGCACCAGAACAAGAAGTAGAAATAGATAGAAATATCATTCAAGAAGAAGAAAAACAAGCAATTCCTGAGTTTTTTGAGGGACGCCAAGCTAAAACACCAGAACGCTATTTGAAAATCAGAAATTACATTTTGGATCAATGGTAAGAAAGAATTATATTTTAAATGCTGTTTTAAAAACCTGATTCTCTGAAGTATTTTAATGAGGCCTATGCAGAATTTAGAATTTTGCTTAGTGAATCAAGAGAGCTTTCACGTATATTAACATTTCAGTAGGCAAGATTTAAAATTTCTCATAGTGAAACTTTTTTGAAAGATTTGGTAAACATTGTCGACTATAACTATCATAACCCATCTGTCCATTAGAGTGTTTGGGCCTGGGGAAAAAGTGATAGATGATTGCTTTGTGGAGCAATTTCTCAGGACAAAGTTAGGAAGATATAAATAGAGAACACTTCTGCACTGGAAAAGGGAAAATTTCTTTCAGGTTTATCATGTACTTTGAGTACAAAGAAAAAAAATTGGTGACAGGAATAACACCATAAAATGTGGCTAGATTGCAGAAACTCTTCTCTTAAATAGCTATCTTAAATGTTTTTAATTTTGAACTTGTGGCATAATGTGCTAATGATTCTTTCATCCAGTTTCATCAGGATGCAGGAATTTTCTGATGTGTGAATTTTATCCTCTAAATTGTCAGTACCTTTTATTTGAATTTTTTAGTGGGGAGTAGGGATCAAACCAAAAAATTTCCCACCTTGCCTAAATATTCTGCAAGTAATTTGAATTTTTCTTAATAATTTAGCCATCATTAAACATTCATAATTGCTATTATTGTTTCAGAAGCTATTTAATTATGTAAGACCATCTTTATAGAGAGTTTCCCAGTTCCTTGGAGTATACCTTTTGGGTCAGGGTGGCGTTATAGTAAAGAATACTTAAAAGGAACAACTCCTGAAATTTACATAGTGCTTTACAGTTTTGAGAAAGCTTTCCTGTATCATCTCATTTAATTCCTTACAACAGTCTTGTGAAATAGGAAGGTGGTATTATCTCTATTTGGCAGAAAATGATTCTGAGATCAGGAGAGGTTTAGGGACCTGCCTTTGATTATATAACCAGCTGCTGACACATGAAGGACTTCAGTCCAAGTCTTGAGTCTATAAATCACTCTTTTTGATACTCCATGTTTCCTAATCCAGTACACTATTAAATAATGCTAATTAAATTAGATCTCTATCACTATCTACTTTTGGGAAATAAAAGGAGGAATGGCTAAAGTTGAAGGATCTTGAAATAATAACTAACACAAAATGTTTATATGAATGGTCAGCATATACTTAATGTTACTTTAATCAATTCTATTTGTTACTTTGAATTTTGGATTATAAATGAGACAGAATAAATTATATAGATACTATAAATTGTATGGCAGTATTTCCTACATCATTTGCCTTGGTTCATGAAACTAGTTAGGTATTGCTGTTTCAATGTGATTTAGCAGAACTGTATCAAAACAAAAAGAAATGTTTGAACAGGAACTTAACATCTCTTCAGAAATAGAAGAGAGAGTGGTTAACACCACTGGAGGTGGTGTTAAAAAAAATAGAAGGAAGAGTTAAAGTTTTAAAATAAAAAGAGGCCTGCCATATTTGTTCATAGATAAAATATCATTTTCATGAAAGCAGATACAATTGACTCCCTGTTTAAGGGAATATTTTTATTAAAATAGTAGTACCATTATTGAATGCCTACCACATGCCACATATCGTATTTGAGTCATTTCCAATCGTCTAGACAACCTTGTCCTCACTTTGGGGGGGTTTTTTTGGAGGAGTTGTCTTCATTTTATAGATGAGAAAAATGAGGTTCACAGAGGGTAAGAAATTTGTTTCAGTCCATACTGGGTGAAGGTGATTTCAGAGTCTCCAGTCTTGACTTATTTTCACATTTCCAATTCAGGGCCTTGACCCTGACTTTTCACTTTGCCTTGAATGCTCTTCCCCGCCCGCCCCCCCCCCAATATTTTGGCAAGTCTTGCTACCTTGTCTCATTCACATTTGCTAAGGAAAGAAGAGGCTTCTCTGACCACCGTATCTAAAATACCTCACATATCTTCCCCCTCTAATTCTGTCTTTCTCTTACCCTGTATTTTATTTTATTCATAGAACTTATTACTACCAAAAATTTTTACATTTTGGGGGGTCAGAACCTGGGCTGGAAAAAAATATATAACAATTTTATTTGTGTATTGTCTTCTCTGCCCTCAACACCCATGATAACGTAAGCAGCATGTGGGCAGCCCCCACCCCGACTTTATAGAGGAGAGCACTGAGGCCCAGGGAGATGGAGAGAGTCCCTGCAGACCAGTCTAGGCATTCTGGCCAAGGCAGTTTTCCCACCTCACTGTCCCCATCCCCTAACAGAGCTGAGAAGGCTTTACAACCCACATCTCAGCCTCAGCCTCCTTTATTCATTCATTCTCATTTGTCTTGAGTGTGGGGCACAGCTCCAGGCACTGGAGAGGGACATACAGCAAACATAAATAAGCTGGTCAACAGAATGGTCACGGAACTGTCCTCAGTACACAGGGTAGGGGTGGGGAGGTGGGGGTGCAGGTGCCTCTTTGGTCAGGTGGTCCAGGGAGGCCTCTCTGGGAGGCCAACATTTGATACAGCCTTTTGTCTTGTTTGTTGTTCAATCTCTAAGTATTCTAGAACAGTACTTGGAATATAGGCACTCTATTTGTTAGGGGAAGAAGACTGAACATATGAATCATCACTGTTTCGTGAATAGACATTTTTTAGGGTTCTTACCATTTGTTCAGCACTGTGCTAGATTACTGAGTTCTGTTTTTTTGTTTTTTGTGTTTTTTTTTTTGAGACAGTGTCTCACTTTGCCCAGGCTAGAATGAGTGCCATGGCATCAGCCTAGCTCACAGCAACCTCAAACTCCTGGGTTCAAGTGATCCCTACTGCCTCAGCCTCCCCGAGTAGCTGGGACTACAGGCATGCGCCACCATGCCCAGCTAGTTTTTTCTATATATATATTAGTTGGCCAATTAATTTCTTTCTATTTATAGTAGAGACGGGGTCTCGCTCTTGCTCAGGCTGGTTTCGAACTCCTGACCTTGAGCAATCCGCCCACCTCGGCCTCCCAGAGTGCTAGGATTACAGGCGTGAGCCACCGCGCCCGGCCTGAGTTCTGTTTTGATTTGGGTAATCTTCAATTACTCAATTAATCTTCAATTAAGTCAATTCAGTTTTTGATAACCATGCTCTTTCCTGCTTTCTTACCTTCATTTTTGCAATTTGTTTCCTTTTCTTTCAAGGCATACTGAAATCTCAAGTTTTCTGTGGAAGCTATATGATACTCTCTCACATCACAAATTACTTTTTACCTTCTGCTTAGAGCAGCCTATCTATCTAAAAATGGTCTGTGGCTGTTTGTCTCACTTTATGCCCTTATTTTTTTTACTTTTTCTTCCTAGCACTATTGTTACCTGACAATGTAATATATATTGTTCATTGGTTTATTGATAGTTCCTGGATTAGAATGTAAGATCTGTGAGGTCAGGAACTTTATATTGTTCATCTCTATATCCCTAGTGCCTAGAACAATGCCTGGTGCATAGAACACAAATATTTGTGGAATAAAATAATGATTGAATAAGAAATACCCATGTTATATAACATAGCTGAATACCCAGTTTATAATATCTATTCTTGAATCCTGATTCTATAAGCACAAAGAAATGCTGTAATCACTCTGACCCTCTTGTTTCCTCATTTCTAAAATGGGAATAATAAAGTCTACTTTCTAGGATTGTGAAGATTGAGGATGTGCAATTCACAGTATAGCATTTGGCATAAGCACTCAGTAATTGGTTTCTACTAAGTTCTCTATTACTCTTAAATTTTATATGGTGCTATCTAGCATGGTACATTAACTATATTCAGTAAATATGTGTTTTATTATATAAGCCTTTTATTCCTTTCATAATAGTTTTAGGAAATTTCTTGATTCCTTTGGAATCCCCTATAATGTCTTTCTGTTTTCCACTGAGAGTAAGCACTTAATATTGATTGGCTGGCATATGATTAAAAACAAATATAAAACTTTTAAGCATTTACAGTATAGCTGATAATTAAAAGATATTGTTCGATTAAGAGTAGATAAACATAAGTAATATATTTAAAATTGGAAAAGTCTAATAGTAAATCCTTTCAATATATTATCAAAGTGCCCTTTTTATTTAAAGATTTAATTTGGACTTATGTATAAATAAACTTCTAACTTCAAAGTTCTGAAATAACTGGAATCTATAGACTTTAACACTGAGGAAGAAATACTAGTAAAAATTACACTATACTTATAAGTATATTATTCTTTAAAAATATTCCAGAAAAAAGTACACTTGGGTATTGTGTATTAGTATTGTGTTTATGATACATTTACACATTGAAAGGGGTAAAATTTTAAGATATTTCAAATTTTAAAAGTTATCCCCAGAAATCTTTTTCATGTTTTTATTTATCCAAAATAATTGTACTTCCATCTCTTAATTAGGGAGATATGCAAACCGAAATACTTAAATAAGACCTCAGTACGCCCTGGCCTGAAGAACTGTGGGGATGTTAATTGTATCGGACGGATTCATACATACCTCGAATTGATAGGAGCAATCAATTTTGGATGTGGTAAAAATAAATACTTAACATCTCCTACCTAACATTTTCTATCCTTACAGCACCTACTCATTTCTATGATGGTTAGAATCCAATTAAATTTAGGTACATAGAATTCAGAAAGATGCTGTAATATTATGGAATAAATATGTTAATTAAGATTTTGCTATCAAACAGATTTCTGTTGATTAAACAGAAATCTTTCTGTTTCCCTTTGACCTACAATGAAAACTTAGGGTGTAATTTTAGGTAATAAAAATAGTTTAAGAATATAATTCTTTGGCAGGTAAAATTATTTTATGAAAACTCTAGTAATAGCCCATTTACTTTGCAAATACTGTATTCATGCAAGAAATACTGTCTAGTAATGTTTAAATAAAAGAAATAATTACAAGCCTCTACAGTTAAATGTAATAAAAACGCCAAAATATTTTTCATAGAAGACAATTTCTTTTAGCCTTTTTTTTTCAAATTTAAAGTTGATGAATATGTATATTTTAAAATGTATTCTACTCTTTTATTGAATTAACATGACACATACTTTTTAAAGAAAGCTAATAGCCATTCATATAGTTACAAAATAAGATAATTAGAACCTTGTAAACCCATGGTTTAAAAAGTATATTCTGTATTCTTTGTCTACTATGAAAGTGAGACAGCTAACCAGAAAATTTTAATCAGATATGATTTTGTTTTATGTAGAAATAGATAAAATTTACAGTCTGCCTGGGAGGGGAGGGGTCAGTCCTTCATTTCAGTGTCTTCGTTTGCCCAAAGCCATGTATATAGAGACTAGCTTTTCAGGAAAACTAAGGCATTTTAGCTTCCTCCACCACAAAAAGAAAAATGTAGTCATGTTTTCCATATTAGACTGCCAAAATTAGCAAAGTAGGCCTAGCAGTCATTTAATCAGAAATTACACAAATTACCCATTTCCTAAATATTTCATTTTATTGATAATTTTCTTGTAATAATTATATTACTTTTATTTGAGAACTGGTGAGTAGTATATCAAATATATGATTGTGGAATAAGATAGAGTCACAGAAGATCAGCTATGGTCAGTGTAGATGTGTCTTCCTATTTAACAAATGAGGTTCATAAAATAATAGATGTGGTGTTTGATTTTTTTGTTTTCTTTCCTGAATTCCAATAGAACAAGCTGTATATAATAGGCCACAACCTGTTGATAAAGTACGAATCAGAGACAGAAAAGATGCAGTGGAAGCATACCAACTTGCCCAGCGTCTGCAGTCTATGGTAAACTGTCATCTCTCTCACTCAGTGATCTGTCCATATTGCTCCTTACTCTGTTTAGTGAAGCATACCTACTTCTCTTTAGCTGTTTAACAAATGGCCCATGTAGTAGAAAAACATGTTTTCTCTTGGATTTCACCATAGCCATTCACTTTTCTGACTTCCATTCAATTTCATGTTGGTTTGTAAGGAAAAAAGCAAACTAAAAAACCCTTGTAATTCACTGGCAAACATACGGAAACATAATATTTTGCTGAAGTGGTCTTGGGCCGCTTGGTTTTGATTTATAAATTTAATGTGTCTTTTAAAACTATACAGTTTGGTTCTCTTTTCTTTTAGTTACTTTTGTTCTTTTAAAATGCTTATTACCTTAAGAATCAGCTTTTTAGAATAACTAGCTCTTATTTTTAATTCTTGTAGGTAATGAGTTTTATAATATTTTTAAATTCATAAAAATTATTTTAAATATAAATAATCCAACAGTTCTCCTATAAGGCAGAGTTGTAATATGATCCTGTTCATTTTACTAATAAATTAGTAATATGTAAGATAAATGAAAAGAAAGTCTAGATGATCGAGTAGCTAATTTTCTCAGAGTGTTTAGACTGTAAATTGTTTCTACCCAGATTTACTACCTTTAAGAAAAGATGTTTTCAGCTGGGCGAGGTGGCTCATGCATGTAATCCTAGCACTCTGAGAGGCTGAGGTGGGCAGATCACTCAAGGTCAGGAGTTCGACCAGCCTGAGCAAGAGCGAGACTCCCATCTCTACTAAAAATAGAAAGAAATTAATTGGCCAACTAAAAATATATAGAAAAAAATTAGCCAGGCATAGTGGTGCATGCCTGTAGTCCCAGCTACTCAGGAGGCTGAGGCAGAACGATTGCCTGAACCCAGGAGTGTGAGGTTGTCGTGAGCTAGGCTGACGCCAGGGCACTCTAGCCTGGGTGACAGTGAGACTCTGTCTCAAAAAAAAGGGGGGGGGGGATATTTTCAAGTAGAGTTGCTGGAGATGCTGCTAGGCACACACTGTCCTTTGGCAACTAGTCCATTTTAAAGGCCTTACTGTTGAGATTTACAAAACTGGACATTTGTAATATAGTCAACTAACTTTGTAATTTTTCATTATTTATATTGACTAGGCTATCTCCTTTCTAAAGCTGAGATGTGATTATTTTGCTTCTATTTTTTAATATTATATCTCTTACATATTCTTAAAAATTTTCTTCAGGTAGTTGAAAGGGAAGCCATTTTCTTGGTAGTTCTTTTTGGTCTTAAAAATATTTTTGTTCTAGTGTTTTAGCTCCTAAACAATGAAAGGAAATGTAAATTTAAGAAGAAATGCAAGTAAAATATAGAAAATAATCACTGATTTTTATTTTTTGGACAGCCTTCCTTTGCCGCCACCCAGCCTACACCCTTCCCACCTGCTGCTGTTGCTCCCACCCTTAGCTCAACATCACTGATCTATTTCTAAGCAAAATGCTAAACTGTTGAACATAAATTAATAAAATTTAGTTAGACATTGCTGATTAGAGATTATACTGTGTAAATGGATACATTGATCTCAGATAATTGTCTTTTTTATCTTTTTTTTTTTTATAGACAGTCTTGCTGTCACCCCAGCTAGAGTGCAGTGGCATCATCATAATTCACTACAGTCTCAAACTCCTGGGCTCAAGCGATCCTGCCTCAGCCTCCCAAATAGCTAGGACTATAAGTGCGTGCCACCACTCCCAGCTAATTTTTCTTTTTTTTTTTATAGAGACAGGGTCTTACTCTTGTTCAGGCTGATCTCAAACTCCTAACCTCAAGCTATCCTCTTGCCTTGGCCTCTCGGAGTCCTAAGATTACAGGTGCCTGGCCGTCATTTTTGTTTTGTGTATTAATGTGCTGTGATTTCTTCATGTTAATCTTGTTACCTTTTGCTTTACTTTAATGTTATAACAGCGCACAAGGAGACGTAGGGTCCGAGACCCATGGGGAAATTGGTGTGATGCAAGGGACTTAGAAGGACAAACGTTTGAGGTAACTTTAACTTTTCAAATGGCTCATTCATGAAAACTGTTTTGTAAATGTATTTTTATACATCTCAATGTCATATAATTGCACTTATTTCATATGTTAACATGTGTATCTTCAATCCCATGTTAATTTGTCTAGAAGTCACCAATAAACAGCAAAATAGAAGGCATTGGTGGTATAGTTAACTAGGAGTTTAAACTCATTTCCAGACTTTCATTCTGTCTCCACATTCTTATCTCTAGCTCAGTATATGCCAGGGTGCCAAGAAATTGATATATTCAATTCATTTCATTAAACATTTATTGAATGATGTTCTGATATACAAATTAAAATATTGTTCTAAGCACTGGACATAAATTGAATTACAAACATTGAAATGTTATTTCTACTATTAAAAACTATGGTCCTAAGAGGAAACATAGACAGTGAATGTGTTTATGTACGTGTATATATACACACACATGCACATATGTGTTCTAAATATATAAATTTGTTTGTAAACAAGTTGTACTAGAATGGAAGAATGGGAATGTGTACATTTGGGCTTTGTTATCTTGAGCAATTACTTAGCCTCACTGAATTTCATATTTTTTAATTTATGAAATGTGGGTAATAATACCTGCCTTAAAGGATTATTGTAAGAAGTAAATGAGATAAAGTATATAAAGGTCCTAAGTACTCAATAAGCCTTGCATGCTCAATAAATGATAGTTGTTGATCTTTCATCCTTCCCATATCCTACCCCCAACCCCTTAAGCACTATTATAAGGATAGTAATTATTAATAGTAATTCATGGTTCCTTCCCATAAAGGACTTAAATTTCTAGTAGGAAAAACAAAACCTATGGTAAGTTCCATAAGGTTAGTTACAGGAATGAATAAGGTTCTCCCAAGGGGTTTGATCAGGGACGGTTTCACAGAACATGTGATGGTTGTATTTTTTGTGTTTTTTTGTGTGTGTGGTTTTGTCTTTTGTTTTTTTGGTTTTTTTTGAGGCAAAGCCCTGCACCTTGGCTAGAGTGCAGTGGCATCACTGTAGCTTACTGCAACCTCAAACTCCTGGGCTCAAGCGATCCTCCTCCCTCAGCCTTCTGAGTAGCTGGGACTATAGGCTTGCACCTTTATGCCTGGCTAATTTTTTCTATTTTTAGTAGAGACAGGGTCTCGCTCTTGCTCAGGCTGATCTTGAACTGAGGTGAAGTGATCCTCCCACCTCGGCCTCCCAAAGTGCTGAGACTACAGGCATGAGCCACCTTGCCTGGCCTAGAAGATGTGATGTTTGATCTGAAGGATCAGTAGAAGAATCTCGAAAAGTAGATGAAAGCATTCCAGGCTGAGGAAGTGGCATAAGCAAAGGTGCAAACATGGGAAAATGCCAGATATATTCTGAAAGAGGTGCATAGTTCATTTGGGCTAGAGTGTAGGGTTGTTAATAGAAAGGGAATGAATAGAGATTTACTTTGTTTTATGAACACTTATAAGGGCTTACTATGTGTTAGACACTATTGTCAGTATTTTGTAAACACTAACCCATTTAATCTTCACAATAACAACATGACATTGTTATTACTATTTTTGTTATTATTTTTAAAGATGAGGCAACTGAAACATGAAAGCTTTAGAACTTGCCTAAGGTCACCCAGCTAGTAAATAGCAAAACTAGGCATTCCATCTCCAGAATCTGTATTCTTAGTCATTACTTTGCATTGCCTCTCAGTTGTAAAAGAAAACTCAACACAGTAGACTTTGGTGAGTAGCAATGGGAAATAAGAGAAAAGACTGGTGATTCTGAGATTTTCAAGTCTGGGTGACTAGTACCATTGACTGAAATGGGCAAGTCTACCTTTTGAAACAATTTTAAACAAATATTTAGCATTTCTATTAGCAAAAAGAAAACACGTCTGTATAATTTAGTCTGTCTTGTTTTCGCTTGCCCCTAAATTTATTTTTAAAGAACTATTTTTATTAATATTTTTTATTAATTCTGCCTCAGTAGTTGATAGACTCTTTGATCAATTGGTGTTTTGTTTTAGCATCTCTCTGCTGAGGAGTTGGCAAAAAGAAGAGAAGAGGAAAAATGCAGACCTGTTAAATCTTTAAAAGTCCCAAGACCAACAAAAAGGTGTAGTGTTCTGTTATATAAGTATGATTTTTTTTCAACTTATCACATGGTTAGAAAGTGTATGGAAAAAATACTCAATAGCTATGTTATAATATTCATATTAAGTTAAAAAATACTACTAAATTTTTTGAAATTTTTTATTTCACTGATTATCAATTTGGGAATCCTTGAATAAACGTTTTAAATTTGTTCAGATTCAGTGAACATAGGCTACAACATATTTACAACATGTTGGTCATTTGGTAGTCATTCAACTCTAGACATGGACAGGTAATCTCATGAAATAACTTGATTCTCACTTTGGGTGGTACTAATTGTTAGTAAGCCCAATATTGCCTCTTTCTCATCCTTTAATTTTCCATTCCCTGTAGCTCCTCAACAAACATTGACAACACTTCATGTTTCTTAAGTCCTCTGGGATGTTCTCCTGCTCTTTATATTCTCATTTATCTGGGTCTTTAGTTTCTTTTTATTTGTGTTGATTAAGCACTTTCTACTTTATAGGTCTTCTTTATTTAATGAATATTTTTGAATACCTACTATATTTAATATATGTCAGGCAATATTCTTGGGCACTTGGGATACAGTATTAAGCATAACAAAGTATCTGTTTTCTCGGCACTAACAGTCTCTTTGGTTGAATGGGAACTGAATTATCCTGCTCTTTTCCAGTTGTGTTAACATGAACATATTCCTATGTGTTTTTCTTTCCTGAACATAGCCGAACAAAACCTTTTTATTGTTCTTAATACATTTCTCAAGCCTTGATTCTTTACTGGTCAAAGACTTTTGAACTTTTCTCTCAGATTTTACACATACTTTTGTATCTAGCCTTGCTAGGTTCTCTCCTTTTCATCTCTTTTTACTTTTTCGTTTTAAAATAAGAGTTTATCATAGGACTTTCTAATACATTAATTTCTTCAGCAGAACTGTTTGTTGTTCATTCATTCAAAAAAATATTGAGTCCCTACTGTGTAGTGGGCACATTATTGTACTTACTTCTGTGTTTTTAAAAAAACTTCCATCTTTCTTGAACTTTCTTTCAGGTCTTATGTCAGGGAATTAGTTATATCTTCATTGAACTTTTTGAAATCTGCTTTTAGTGTAAGAACAGCAGTCCCCAGTTTTTTTGGCATCAGGGACCGGTTTCATGGAAGACAATTTTTCCATGGAAGGTTGGAGGGGCAGAGGTGGAGCTCAGGCAGTGATGGGATGCAAGTGATGGGGAACATTTGATGAAACTTCACTGACTCACCTTTGCTCACCTCCTGCTGTTCAGCCTGGTTCCCAACAAGCCACAGAGTAGAACCTGGTCTGTGGGCTGGGAGTTGGGGACCTCAAGTATAGAACATACACTTGGTGGTTTATAGTGTTCTCTTTGGGTGTTAAAGGAAATTGAGACAACAGAATAACTTTGCCTCAAAGTTCCTAGTTTGTTTTGTTTTGTTTTGTAAAAACAATGCTTCATTTGAAGGGGTTGATGGTATGTCCTAAGAAATTGTCTTAGTTTAATGTTTTTCTCATTCAAACAATTTGGGTTTAGATTATTGATACATGTTTTCAAATTTGTGAATAAATAAATGTTATTTTCTTAATCTTGTTGAGATTATATTAAAAATGATTTTTTTTTCTTTTTTAGCTCATTTGATCCCTTCCAGCTGATACCTTGTAATTTTTTCAGTGAAGAAAAGCAGGTATTATTTATGTATTAATGAATGACCATAAAAAGTGCCCATCCCTGTCAGACAGGAAATATTTATTTCTATATGTGCAAGATGTGTGTGTGTGTGTGTGTGTGTGTGTGTGTGAAAAGGTTGGACAAGGCCAGGAATATTAAGGGTCAGATGAGTGATACAGATGGAAAATGAGAGAGAATTTCTCCCTTCTGGGGTTTTGAATGGTAATTTTTCTAAAAAGTCCATTTTGCTCTGAGCCTTGATTAATGCTAAGTTTGGTGGGGTAAAGGAGAAAAGTGGACATTTCATTTGGGGAGAATAAAATCTTTATTTTTATTTCAGGAGCCATTTCAGGTGAAAGTGGCTTCAGAAGCACTTTTAATAATGGATTTGGTAAGGATAATCTATTGTGTTTACTTAGTTATTCTGATTTCTATTCTTGTGTATTTTTATTGCAGGCATAAGGCAGTATGGAAGACGTGTATTTTGGATCTTAATATATCCTCTTTTACAAGGAATCTAAAAATAAGTCTTTTCTTTTGGAGAAAAGCCAAACAATTGCATGTTTCCATATTTTAGAGAAAATAAATTAATGTGAGTTTTTGCAGACTGTTTATCAGCATTAACCTTATTTTCATTTCCTAATATCTTGTGTCTGCTGCCTTTTAGATCACCGAAACAAAGCCCAAGTCCTGTAATTAGGAGATTCCTTGTTTGCACTAAATTTCCAGTACCTCCAACAGTTTTGTGTTCCTTTGCGATGTGTTCTGTAGAGGGACTCAGTGATTTTTGCTTTATATCCTTATACCTCTCTTGAACAGGGAGAACACTTGGTGGTTTCAGTTTGTGAGTGAAAAGGTAGAGTCTGGGAGTGTAGTGTTCTGTTGAAAGCTTCTCAGCCAGCAGTGAAGATAGACCTGAAATCTTAGCATCTAGTTTTTCTCCTCTGCTACATTATTTTAGAGAAGCATAATTACCATACTTGTCAATGACTGTCCTATTATAAGTGAGTTGTATTTTGTTTTTTTATCAGGTGAGTTTGTGCATTTGGGCTAAGTGTGTCTTGTATTTCTTTTAGCATGCTCATGTTTCTATGGCAGAAGTGATTGGTCTGTTAGGAGGAAGATACTCAGAAGTTGATAAAATAGTTGAAGTAAGTTCTCTTTAAAAAAAATGTTTTTTATTTAGTCCTGCTTTCATACCAAATATCTTTATAAAATTCAGTTAGTATAATTAAAATATAGACTTTCCTTATGATATGTGTGAGAATATGCAAATGTAGCAAGTTATAAATTCCCAGAAGTGACTTAAAATTCCATTTACTGAGCACATGTTTCTTTTTACCACCAAGAGAGAACACTGCCAGCCCGTGGCTCCTCATTACCTTTACCAACAAAAAGCGACACCTCCTAAGAGGCCAGAACTATGTACTAACACTTGTAGTTGAAAGTTGGTATATATCATTCTGTTGCATTTACTGTCATAAGTAATAGGAGTCATTGAAAGAATGCCTTTGTACAGGTTATGTGAGCTGACCTGGAAAACTAACAGTTATTATGACCGTGTTTGGGTAGAAAAAGGCATGCTAAGTTCCTAGCATACAATCATACTTTTGGAGTATAAGTCATTTGCAAGTTACAGGCTGCCTACGATATAGTCAAATGGAAGTCTTGGCCTTGATAAATTTCTGTTTCTGTGTATGAAAGAATTGAAACATTAAAGTAATATAATTAACAAGATTTTAGTATAATCATATGGGAATCAATCCTCCTTAGGTCTGTGCAGCAGAACCGTGTAACAGTCTGAGTACAGGACTACAGTGCGAAATGGATCCCGTATCACAGACACAGGCCTCAGAAACCTTGGCTGTTAGAGGCTACAGTGTTATTGGATGGTATCATTCTCATCCTGCGTTTGATCCTAATCCTTCTTTACGAGATATTGATACACAAGCCAAATATCAGGTATGTTTATTCTATAAGTGATTGCACATCTGCTCCACCCCCATTGCTTTCTATTAAATAAAAAACTTTTAACATTTTTAGTATTGCATTTCTGATATTCTTTATATATGGGGTTTTGTAAGAAGTTTTTTTTTTTTTTCCCCTGATTGCAAGAATAGTGACCTAGTTTAAGGTCATTATTAACTAACTCTATTTTCAAATACTCTCAGAGCCTTGAAAAATTGATGAGAAAGACCAGCAAAAGGACTAGGGATAATTGAAATAATCAGAAACATAATATATTTTTCATCTCTGAAAAAAACAAAGTTTTCTTTTATTCTGTAATTTTATGTTTGATACATGAATGTTTTTGCTATAGGCAGCTATTTGTACATTATTACTATATTGATAAGTAATACAGCTGTAGAATAGTAAATATGATTAGTAAATATATTCACGGCAAGTGTAGGTTTTGCAGGCCACATGATTTTTTTTTACAGGTCATAGGGTTGAGCACATTGGCCTGGAAAATTTACAGTGTGAAATGAATATAGAAGGCATTTCCTTCAGTTGTTGTTAGGATATGAAGTTTTTAATGTACCTGTTTGTTTCGCTTTTCCCCATTAGATGTCTAAAATGTTAGTATGGTAAATACTGACTTTTAAATTTATAGAGTTGAAACTAATTATACTTTTCTTGTAATTGTAGAGTTACTTCTCCAGAGGAGGTGCAAAGTTCATTGGAATGATTATTAGTCCCTATAATCGAAACAATCCCTTACCATATTCTCAGATTACCTGCCTGGTTATAAGTGAGGAAATTAGCCCAGATGGCTCCTATCGTAAGTTTTCAACAAAAATAACTTCATCCTACTTCTGCCCTCATTTCTTTGAGTTTTACAAGTCAAAGAATTTACAATATTCACAAGTTTTTAATGGAAAAGTTTATACCCTCAACTAAGGAATTTCTGTTTGGTTGTCACCTAGTGCAGCCACCCTCTTCCCTTTCATAATATCCTGCTATATTCAGGTCTCCACTGTGTTCTCATGGCCACTGGGCAAAAGAATTAAAACATGGAGAAAAGTTATGGCCAAGCAGTGTATATGCTAGGCACTACAATAAACAGAACAGTCTCTTTTCTCATGAAAATTTTTTAAAACACAGACTGGCTTTCTTTGTGATGGCATACAAATGAAAACAAAAAATGACCACCAGCTCTCCATCACTTCCCACTTTAAAATCATTATTAATTAACTCTATTTTTATATCTCTTAGTTCCCATTCTACTTCAAAAAAGAGTTTGGTTGGCATAGCCCATCATCTGACTTGGTTGCTCTGAAGTTTATATCCACTTGCGCTCCAATCATTTCTGGCTAGATAGGGTATTAGTATAGCCAGCTAGGAAAAGGAAGGGAGGTGGATAGAAAGGAAATGATTGGAGGAAACAATAAGCATCTGTAGGATATTTATTCTCTCCTCTATCCTTACTACCACTGCTCTAGTTCAGGTACTCTTCAGACACTGTCACTGCAGTTACCACATTATACTCCTGCCCATCAGATGCGTGAGCTCTTTGTGGGTAGATACTATGTTATATTTGTTTTTCTATCCTGTTTCTAGCACAAGGTCTGGTATAAAGTAGGTACTAAATGAATGTTTGTTTAATAATTAATTTTTCTTCATTATTAATGATCTCACTTGGATGCCTTCTATTTGGTAAAGACTTCCCAGTACTACCCTGATAGTATTTATTAGTTACTCAGTTCTTTGTGCATATGCAATATTGTTTTTCTTCCTTCATAGTTGCTTTTGTCTTTTAATGTAATTTGTGTACTTAGCAAGTTGTGTTAAACTGAGCACCTAAAGAGCAGGAACTATATTTTGGTCTTACTTGTCTTTGTGTTCTCAGTATCACCTTGCATCTAGGAGGTGGTTAACACTCTGTGAGTTTTTATTGAATGGATAAAATTGGCATTAGCTTTAGTCCAGAATGTACATTTTGACCATAGCATATAATATACATTATTCTTTGACATTGTATAATTTTACAGAAAGAAGAATCACAATTAACTTGTTCTTACTTGAAATCATTTCTTAATCTCACAGTCTGCTAGATTTTGGTAGTGAGCCTCTACTCTGATTCGACTTTAAGTTTAAATTCATTAGAATTATATGACATTTAAAATGTAGTTTGTGGAATTCCACTTCTGGCCAAAATGAAGTAATAAAGACCTGTCTGAAACAACCAAAATACTGGACAAAATATATAAAATCATGGTATTTAGGACACAGCATCAGGCAGCAAAGGAATGTGATTGCCAAGAGATGGGAAATGAATGAAGTGAGCCAAAATTTCCCTAGCTTACTGACTGAAGGGAGTTTCCAGGTAAGACACAAGGAGAATAAACTCACCCAAAGCTTGGCAGACTCTCTGAGGAGATGGAGGCAGCTAAATCTACAGAACAGACTCCCGGAGAACAGAAAGCTGAATAGTGGAGAGCAAACTCCAGAGATGTATAGAAGTTACCCCTCGAGTATTTAGCAAAATATATACCAGCACATGCATGTGAAGAAACTAGCCCAGGTAGGGGAAAGAACCACTTGAAAGGATTGGAGGGAACCATACACGATGCTCACACGAACTACCATTGGACAGCAGCGCAAGATGTTCTGTGTTACCGTCATTGCAGAAAACTGTGGAACAGAGCTGCCTTATAAATGACTTGTCTACTGTTAACACTGTGTATTAGATCTCAATCCTTAGTCCTTTGCTCCTTATAGAAATCCTCGGGTACAAGATTTAGGTTTATTAGAAGCCATGGTATACCTTGTACTACAGTACTTTTAATTCAGGTCTTATCTTTAAAATATGTTTTCTGTGTTTTCTGTACATGCAGGAAGTATACTTAATAATTAGTTTTCTTCTGATACTTTAGTGAATAAAAATATTTTGTATAAAAGGAAACTTTTACTGACGTTAGTGCCTTTTTTTTAACTTAGAGAAGTATTCTTAATCATACCAAAGAGAGCTGTATATGTAGTTTGTGTGTGTGTGTGTTTTTCCGTGTTTTTTCATCAGCACAGACTGGAAATGCATTATTTTCTTTGCTTTGTTTCTATTTTCAACTTTCATTAAGAGTAGAAGTCACTCAATTGGATTCAGATCCTAGCTATAACACGTTTATTGGTTATTACCTTGGGTAGGTTACTCTCTCATTCTCCTTTGCTACATCTGTAAAATGAGAAAAAATTATATTAAATACCTTGCTTACAGGGTGGGTAGTTATAAGGACTGTCAGTAATATGTGTAAAGTGTTTAGCAAATAATAGGTTTTCAACATGTAGTTATGATTATAGCTGGTATCTGTGCTTAGAAAGTAATCAAAACATGTCAAGTAAGTGAATTTTATCACCAAAAGGAGTTTGCTTAGTATATCCCTTATACTATATAATGTGTCACTCTTCGTAAGCTTTTGGAGGAGAGGGAGGAGAATTGAGAAATGAAATAAAAAATATCAGTCATCATCAGGATTGCTGTCTCTTTGCCTCCCAAACACCTGAAAATATGAAAAAAACAAAAATGCCTTTTTAGAGCTTATTGACAACAACTAACCTATGCTTTGTTTCATTGTGAGGAAATATACTATGGTTCCCCCCTTTTTTTACCTATGCCTTCTGATTTGCTGGCATTTTTTTATTGAAAAGCCTTAGTATGGCAAAAAACCAATTGTAAAAGTTAAGAGGACAGACTCTCAAACCAGACTGCCTAGGCTCAAATCCTGCCTCTACCTCTTCTCTTATGATCATGAAAAGGCTAACCTTTCTGTGACTTGGGGTCTTAATTTAAAAAAAAAAAAAATTAGGACAATAATGGTAGCTACTTTGTTTATTAATAAGTGATTTTACATATGTAAAGCACCTAAAGCCTGGCACACATTATCTTATTATGATTGGCCTTTGGTAATGAATCAGCTGAGCTTTTCCTTAATACTAGAGATACATTTACCTGGAGGTCTTGAAGGATAAGTGAGAAATTTTTAAGATGGCGGATTGATTGATATTTTTTCCTTTCCAGCTATATGTATGATGCCTACTCCTTGGACTCCATTCCTCTAGAATTTAGCATGACAGCTTTGACTCAAGTGCAGTTGCCACCTCCCCTGTTAATCTTATTTCCTGTCTAGTCTTAGATTAGCCCCTCTAGGAAGGTGGAATGAGTATGAGCTCAGAAGTCAGGCAGACCTGCCAGTATTTAACATCCAAGCTTTGCCACTCTGCCAACCTGAGCACATTATTTAACCTGTCTCAGCTTCAGTTTTCTCATCTGTAAAATAGGAATCATGCTGCCTACCTTATGGGATTGTTGTAAGCTTAATAACCTGTGTTTTATTTAAAAAAGCAAAGCCCAAAATAACCTTATCACTAGGACGATGGTATTATAATATGTCTTGGTTTGCCTATTACAGTCCCAATTTAAGCCTGTGGTTCTGGCATAATTATTAATATTGCTACGTTTCTCTGAAAAAGTCTCTTGGTTTGGGTGGTAAATATGTGATCATCCTACCTCTCAGTGCCTTGCATAGAATTCTCACACAAATGGCACTTTTACTTTTCTTTATTATTATTAATAGCTTGGCATTAATACGCTTGGTAGGCCAAGTACAGTCAGGCAATAAATATTTAATGAATGCCCTCTATGTTTAAAGTGCTCTTCAGCTGGTCTGCCAAGTTGTAGTTGTAAAAACGCTGAAGGGAATTTTAAGTATAATTAAAAGGAGATTGGAGATTTAAGAAATAGTTGATGAAAATGTGCTTTTTTTTTTTATGCTTTTCTAGGCTTACCTTACAAATTTGAAGTACAACAGATGTTAGAAGAACCTCAGTGGGAATTAGTGTTTGAAAAGACAAGATGGATAATAGAAAAATACAGGCTGTCCCTTAGGTATGTGCTGGGTTTGAGATGGTTGCACATCTGCAGTGTTTCTCATTAAATTATGTTTCAGAGAAAACCCAAGTTAAATATAAATTGTGATGTATGGCCTCAGTGATAGTTTATTACAAAACTGATTAGTTTGTTTCATCAGTTTGCTTTCATATTTCTTCCTACAGCAGGGTCCCCATGGATAAAATCTTTCGCCGGGATTCTGACCTGACTTGTTTGCAGAAAGTAAGCTGCCTTCATTTTAATTGGATCCATTGTTCACAGATTCTAAAGCTATTCATTTTGATGTGTTTTCCCATGATGCCTAATGCTTTGTGGATAATTTTCTGTATATTTCTTTTATTGCTTTTTCCTTTCTCAAATTAATTTCTAGGAGATAATTAGTAATGTATTTTGTTGCCCAAGCTTGCACATAGAAAAAATACTATTTTCGAATAAATTTGTCAGTGTTGGCTGATAAATTTTTTAGCAGATTATTATTATACACAATAGAGAACATTTTTCTCATTTTATTCAAAAGTACCATGTTTCCATCTCAACCTTAACAGTTAATTATTTTTAAGAATGATAGTATAAATGTAACAATTAAATTTAAATGGTTTTATTTAACTTTTTAATAGGAAATAAGAGTTTTGAATTCTTTTATTTCACTTTTATTTTTGCTTCTATAATGAGTTAAGACTAGTAGACTGGCAACCTTTGTCTTTTTTTGTAGCAATTTAGGAATAGAAAGTTTAAACATATTAGATTTCTTTTTAATATTTTTTACTCCTTTCTGTTACATCCACTTTTTTGTGTGTGCTGCTAAAAAGATTATATGCACACTTCTAAGAAAAGACTCTTGGCATGCTAATTTGAAATGGTAGAGTCCTGTATTTGTATGTATGTAGATTTTTTTGTATATATAGTATTATTTTGCTCTGTAAGTGTAACTACTTTAAAAAGGCATAAAGTCACAAATTTTCCCAAAGTAGAAAGCATCATATATACAATCTCAATTTGTCTTATGTAAAATGACAAAAGAACTAAACTGTGTTCCTCAGCAGTGGTTTCCTGCATTCTAGTTGTATGATTATTGAACAAGTTAATTTTCAGCCACCTTTATGGAGAGTGTTTTTCACTTGAGCATTAGGACATGTGGGGTTTCGAAAGGGATAAAGTAATGATGGTAATGCAAACCCTATTATACTTTTTATGTACTTAAATATAAAACTTTTCTTTTCAACTAGCTTTTGGAGTGTCTGAGGAAAACTCTGAGCAAAGTGACCAATTGCTTCATTGCTGAAGAATTCTTGACTCAAATAGAAAATTTATTCCTTTCTAATTATAAAAGCAAGCAAGTGAATGGAGTACTTGAAGAAAACTATACAAAGGAATTGTTAATGTGATTATTTTAAAGTAAGACATTTTAATCTTGACATAATAGATCCTGCTTTCAAAGTTAGAACCTTGAAATTATTGTAATTTAGTTAACAGTGGCACAGCTTTGGTATTTTTTTTTCTCTAGTTCACAAAATCCAGGCTTTGCCACACGTAAATCTTGTGAAAGGGAAGACATGTGGACTTGTTTTCATATTATCAGAGTGTTCTGTGAACCAGGGTCTGCTGCAGTGTTCCAGTCCTTTATTAAGCATTGCTGTGAAACTTAGGAGGGTGGTCTGCTTTACTTTTGTATTCAGCTTGACAAGTAGAATATATCTCTAAGTCTTATTTCTTCTCTGAACTAGCCATTTCTTATGTTCCACTTTGATATTCATATCTCATTTAAAAGCACTTCTGGCCAGGTGCAGTGGCTCATGCCTGTAATCCCCAAGACTTTGGGAGGTTGAGGCAGGAGGATTGCTTGAGGCCAGGAGTTAGAGACCAGCCTACGCAACATAGAGAGACTCCATCTCTACAAAAAATTTTTTAAAAAATTAGCCAGGCATGGTGGTACATGCCTGTAGTCCCAGCTAAGCAGGAGTCTGAGGCAGGAGAATCGCTTAAGCCCAGTAGTTCAAGGTTACAGTGAGCTATGATTATTACTGTACTCCAGCCTGGGCAACAGAACTCTGATTCTAAAAAAAAATTTTAAATAGAAATTTAATGGAAAAAAACAAGCACTTCCACTCTCTTCATATGTTCTGATGAGATTTGTTTATGGTTGCAAATGAGATATGGATGAGTGATCACTGAGATAAATCAATGTGGCTGAGAACTACTGATTAATAAATTTAATGATATGCTATAGAGGGCCAATAGGCATGGGGAGAAAATCTTAACAGAGGAGAGACCTAAAGAAGAGACTCAAATTACCAGTTTTTAGTCATAGATAACTTGTTTCCATTTTATTTTATAGCAACAGTATTACAAGATAGGCCATTTTCTCAGATATCAGAAATGTTTTTTATGGATTTCACATACATAAAATAATTAGCTTCAACTGTATGTCCATTTAGATCAGTGTGTGTGATAAAACTTCATTTAACTGGAACATAGGTAATCATAACCCTTGAACTGGATTTTTTTCCCCACTACTTACTATTAGGAGAAAGAGGCAAATTACAATAAAGCTTGAATAAATCAGAGATTTAACTTTTTTAAAGTAGTAATTCAAAGGTGTAAATTTTATGACTTAGTATTCCCTTCCAAGCTCAGGTCTGATTCTGTGAAAAGCAGTAATTCATTCCTTTGTACTCTTCTTCCTTTTGACCTGTTTCTTCATTGTGCATTGGGAAACAGATGCTAGAAAGTGGTATTTATTAGCTTTCTTGATTGACATTTCCCTATAACATGATGAAAATAATGAAATTGTTAAAAGTTCTGTTCTCAATTCTGGGTCTTTCTGCATGTCAATGGTTAACCGTATTTGCTAACCTAAGCCATACTGTGAGAAACTCAAAAATGATAATTCTCAGTTTAGGGCCTTGAGAGCACAATTTTTCAAATGTTTACTGAGTATTTTTTTCTGATTATAGAGTACATTTATCTTATAAGATACATTTAAAAACATAGAGAAGTATGAAGTACAAATATCTAAATCTTACTATCCAGAAAACTATGGTTAATATATTAGTGTAAATCCTTTCCCATTTATTTTGACAGCATCATTTTTATTTTTTTCCCCTCCTGCCCCATTCATTCTTCTTGCTTTCCTTTTCTTTTGTCATATTCTTAAAATATTTTTGCAACTGTAGTGCCCACATTCCTGGCACTGCCAACCTTAGATTACTGAGGGTGATTGGAGCCAGGTCCTTGGAGAAGCACAGATGAATTCTTGAACTGAGTGGAGGTATAATACTGGAAGTTCAGGAGGCAGAGTCTCAAAGGAAAACCTACCTGTAATAATGTTTACAGGAAATGGAGAAAGGACTTAAAAACATCCAAGTCTTTTCATCCTGATTCTGTTTGTATTTTTGCACAATGGCTATAAAATAACGAGCTTAAATTTTTTTTTTTTTCTGGCTTGTCTAGTGGGAATTGACACTAGTACTTCCATAATATCAGACTTAGCTTTCTTTAAAAATCTAATTCCAGGCCAGACGCGGTGGCTCACGCCTGTAATCCTAGAACTCTGGGAGACCGAGGTGGGCAATTGCTCGAGGTCAGGAGTTCGAAACCAGCCTGAGCAAGAGCGAGACCCCATCTCTACTATAAATAGAAAGAAATTAATTGGCCAGCTAATATATATAGAAAAAATTAGCCGGGCATGATGGTGCATGCCAATAGTCCCAGCTACTCGGGAGACTGAGGCAACAGGATTGCTTGAGCCCAGGAGTTTGAGGTTGCTGTGAGCTAGGCTGATGCCATGTCACGCACTCTAGCCTGGGCAATAAAATGAGACTCTGTCTCAAAAAAAAAAAAAAAAAAATCTAATTACAAAGTAGCATTCAAAAACAGAAAAATCAGAGCCGGGTATGGTGGCTCACACCTGAAATCCTAGCACTCTGGAAGGTGAGAGGATGGCTTGAGGTCAGGAGTTTGAGACCAGCCTGAGCAAGAACGAGACCTTGTCTCTACTAAAAATAGAAAAATTAGCCAGGGCATCATGGTGCACACCTGTAGTTGCAGCTACTTGGGAGGCTGAGGCAGGAGAATTGTTTGAGCCCAGGAGTTTGAAGTTGCAGTGAGTTATGATGATGCCACTATACTCAACCCAGGGCAACAAAGCAAGACTCTGTCTCAAAAATAAATAAATAAAATAAACAGAAAAATCAGTGAAGCAAGATCAGACTCTCTTTCCCTCTCCATTATTTTAGCCTTGAACCATTCTTCTCTAATCCTTTTAAAATGATCCTCAGTTTCCTTTCCTATAATTGACTTGACTCTGCATTTAGAGCTGCATTAGGATTTTCATGGGCTCTCGGTACTTTTTGCCTTCTTGTACACCTAATTCTGTACAGAATTTAAAACTACATTTTACAATTGGATTTGTATAAAATCAATTTATTAATTTTTTAGATTAAAATGTTTTTGTTCAATCTAAAAGTTCACTTTCTTCTTATGAGGATAAAATAAATTAAAATATTTTTGTGGGTCTCTAAAATATACTGTGGGCCCGAGGCACTGTGCCTTGGGCCCTGCCTATATTCCAGAGGGTATCACAGGAAAAACAGCAGTCACTTCTCTTTCAGCCCCCACTGTCACAAACCCTAGGGTATCCTTTGCCATTCCATCCAAGAGTCCTGCAGTTCCCACTGTTACACATCTAAGACATGAACTTCATTCTTTCCTGACCTGACCAAAACTCAGGAGAATTGGTTGGGACCTTTCCCCCTCAAAAAAAGGTAGGAGGCAGTGGTTAATTTTCATCTTCATATAGATATTTTTGTCCTGGTCCTTAATTGATAGTTTTAAAACTTATGCCACACTTCTAAGGGGAACATCCTACTGCCTTTCTTCAAACCACTTCCTTTATTTTCCTCAATCCCTCTAATTCTTAACCTCTCAGGATATAGGTATAGGATCATTCATCCTATCATTTATTGAAAGCTGGGTCTATGGAATAGAGATGAAGATACCCATTTATATTTCCCTGAAACTGGTAAATGCTGCTGTCAACCTCTCTCCATAACTTCTCTATCCCCAGGAGTGGGGTGAGGTGCGTGACATGCAGACTATAGGTATAGTCAGCCTTTGCAGCTCTCTGGGAAGCAGTCTCTACATGCTAGCCTGAGCAGGCCTTGTGCTCTTTTTATTTTACCTTCTTCCTATTTCACCTGCTGAGTCTGACAAGTTGAGCCAGACGACCTGGAGGAACTGATAGAGTCAGGACACCCTAGGATTGAGGCTCTGTCCTATGCCAACAGAAGAGCCGTATTACACCTGACCGTCTGAATTGAAGCCACCAACCTGCAAGTCAGCAAGAGGCACCAGTTGATAACCATAGAATTCTAAGTAGAAATTAATTTAGAGTTCTCAAATTTTATTTTTTTTTTCACCTATATTCTCCCCTACTAATAGCTAGAGACTAAATCCAGAGCCACACATCGTGGCATTTAAGAAAACTTCTTACACAAGCACAAAGAAAAGCACACGCATTTTTATAATCATCTACTTCATCAGGGTTAATAAAAAATTTAACAAATTTGATGTATATCTCTAGTTTACCAGTACTTTTAATAGTTTTCTTACAAATTAATATATTTTTCAGTATTTCCAGAAAATCACTGTGGGAGAAAAATGTAATATACTTAAGAATATTATTTCCTAACCTTTTCTTAAATGGTTTTATGTTTGCTGTTCTCACAGCCTCTGTTTTCTTTATTTTTTTTCTTTTAATTTAACCTGTAATTGTGCTTTCTGGTATATTCTGAATTTATCTTCTAAGCCACCTTAAGTCCTTCCTGGAACAAGAGAAGGAATTAATATGTTTTACCCACTAAATCAGGAGAAAATAAAAATATCCCAGAGAAGCTGTGATCATGCCAAGGGCTCTATGTTGAACTAAGTTTGAGAAGGTAAAATAAATTAATAATATAGGGATTGTTTTTTCTCCCTTTGGTATTTATGAATTTATTCATAAGAACTTTAATTTCAGGGAAAAAATGCCTGATTTGCTATCTTTGAGGTTTGTTAGTAAGGATAGTCTCTTAAGAATTAAGTCTGTTAAATATGTTTTCATAGTTTGTATTCCTGTTTCGTGGATTACCACAAAATACTTGTTTAAACCTATGAATTATAAAATAGTATTTAGATTCTAGCATGATTTTAATAGATCAATCATATATCTTTGAATTTGTGGATTTGACATGTAAATTATGTGTTATGTGTAAGTTTACTAGACTAGTTACTAGTTACTAGTTACTAGTTTGCATGGTTATTGATAAACTTGCTGCGTTTTGACAAATGTTATCAGTGTTTGTGGACTTTCTTCATTAGTTTGAATTTTGGAATGTTCTGTAATAAAATATAATGATTTAAACACTTTTGTACATTTAAATATGCTATGTTGTATATAACTATATTAAAGAATATTGTAAATATCTATGTTTTTAGAATTATGAAAGATATTCCTCAAAAATGATTGAACTCTCCTCCATACTTAATTGTTACATGTTATAAAATATCTGATTTTAAGCTTTGGGATTTTTATCTTATAAAAATTAAGGTAAAACATGCTAGAGTTTCCATATAAATAAAAATTTGAAAATAAAGTGACCATTTGGATTCTTTCTAAATTGTTACTAATATACACATTGAATTGCAAAAAATAAAAGTGCCACATTAATTTAGCAAACATTTGTTGAGCATCTGTTATATTGAGCACTGTAGGGCAGTGGTCCCCAACCTTTTTGGCATGAGGGATCATTTTCGTAGAAGACAATTTTCCGCAGGGGCAGTGGCCAATTGGTTTCAGGATGGGGATG